TAGTGGGGTGGTTTTCTGGCTCATTGAGCACTATCATCAGCAGTGAAACTCAAACATGGAATAGAATGTAAGCCATTATATTATGCATATTCTAAATTTTCTAGTGGCCTCTTTTAAAGGGGAAAGAGGTGAAATTGAAATTTTTTTAAAAATCACATTTTATTTAACCCAATATTTTCAGCATGTAATCAGTAAATTATTATTAGTGAACCGTTTTACCTTTTTTTGGTACAAACCTTTGCAATCAGGTGGTTTTTTGCGCTTGTAGCACATAGTAATTTGTACAAGCCACATTTCAAGTGATTGTTCACTATATGCAACTAATGGGTATTGAACCATTAACAGCCTAAGAGAAATGTGAAGCAAGAGTTGTTTCTTATTTCTTGTGCAAATAAAGTGATTTAAAAAATGTTTATAAGGAGGCATTTGGAAATTGACCCAACGTATAACCCAGTTTATTCTCCTTTAAGTAAAATAATACTTCTATACAGTAAGTAGCCAAAACGTAAAAAAGAAATGTCAGTGTCCTGGCTGATATGGCTCAGTGGGTTGAGCACCAGCCTGCTATTCAAAGGGTCACTGGTTCGAATCCTGATCAGGGCCATGCCTGGGTTGTGGGCCAGGTCCCCAGTTGGGAGCATATGAGAGGCAACCAGTAGATGTTTCTCTTGCACATCAATGTTTTTCTCCCTCTTTATCCCTTCTCCTCTCTGGGAAAAAAATAAATAATTAAAATCTTTTTAAAAATCACTATATCATTTAGATATAATTTTTTTTTGTTTTAGTGATTGTTTAGAACAAAAGATTTTTAATAGGGGTAATGCATGTGTTACTTTATAGTTTCTCATTGTATTTAGTTGGAGTACATAGTCCTTGTGTTGAGCTCCGGATTACTTATGTTCTGAATGACACTAGGGAAAAAGAAATAGATTATTCATCTGCAAACTAGTTAAAAACCTAGACAAATGAGATCCAATAAAACTTCTGCATTTATGGTTATCGAATTTTGGGGTATATTAGAATCATCTGGAAGGTTTCTTAAACTAGAAGTGGCTGCCCTGCAGTCCCCCTTCCCCCAAATTTTTAAGGTCTGGGGGTCTGAAAATCTGCATTTCCCCTCAGTTCTATTGAGATATACATGCAGCACTGTGTATGTTTAAATGCACATACACATAAAAAGTTAATGATTTGACTTACATCGTGACATGATTACCACAGTAAGTTGAGTTAATGTCTACTCTTAACTCTTACTATCCTAATCTTAAATTCTAACTACTTTGGATATAAAACCACATTAGATTATTTGTACTTGTTTCTTTTGGAGTGAGGGGTAGATGCCTGCCCGCCCGTCCCCCGACCCCGTTCTGATTCCTTAGTATTTCCACTAACTTGTTTCTGGGGATGTGTAATGTTGATAAATAAGACAAATTAATTAAAAGAGACACAGTAGCCTTAGCAGGTGTGGCTCAGTAGATTGAGCGCCAGCCTGCGAAGCAAAGGGTCGCCAGTTGGATTCCCAGTGCAGGGCACATGCCTGGGTTGTGGGCCAGATCCCTGGAGGGGGGTGCGCGAGATGCAACCACACATTGATATCTCTCTCCCTCTCTTCCTCTCTCCCTTCCCCTCTCTAAAAATAAATAAATAAAATCTTTAAAAAAGAGAACTACAGTAAAATGATGAAGCATATGAGATATGAGTCAATGATAATCATATTTTTGAAACCTTAAAAAAAAAAACAAGTAAAAAGGCCTCAGCCAGGTAGCTCAGTTGGTTTGAATGTTGTTCTGATACACCAAGGTTATGGGTTTGATCCCCCATCAAGGCACTACAAGAATCAACCAATGGATGCGTGAATGGGTGGAAAAACAGATTTATGTTTCATTCCCTGTCTCTCTCTCTCTCTCAGATCAATTCTTTAAAAATCAAGTAATAAAATAGTTATACAATGTACTGTCTATTTAACTCTACAGCAGTGGTTCTTAAGGGATGGTTCAAAGACTGATAGTCTCCAATACCCTTTCAGGGTTCCTCAAGGTCATAGCTGTTTTTATTATAAAACTAAGATGTTATTTGTCTTCTTCACTCTCATTCTCATGAGTGTACAGAGGAATTTGGCAGAGGCCATGTGTGATATGTACATAACAGATTGGATGCAGAAGCACGTTGGGAGAATCCAGCTGTCTTCAGTTAAGTCGGCCATTAAAGAGAATTGTGGTTCTACTTATTCATGCATTTATTGGTTGGGTCTTGTACATGCCCTGACTGGGGTCAAATCTGCAACCTTGGTGTATCTGGATGACAATCTAACCAACTGAGCTATCTGACCAGGACATAACAGCTTTATTGAGATATAATTCACCCAATTAAAGTGTACAACTAAGTGGTTTTAGTCTGTTCATAGAGTTGTGTAACCATTACTACATCAATTTTAGGATATTTTCATTACCCTAAAAAAGAAACCCTATACCTGTCAGCAGTTACTTCATAATTTTCCCAATCCCCTGCTCCTGGACAACCACTAACCTGCTTTCTATTTCTATAGATTTGACTATATGGGGCATTTATATAAATGGTATCATGTGTACACAGTCTTCTGTGACTGACTTCACTTAGCATAGTTGTTTTCAAGGTACATCTGTATGTTGTAGCATGTATCAAATTTTCTTTTTTTTTTTTTTTCTTTAATCCTCACCTGAGGATATGTTTATTCATTTTAGAAGGAGAGAGCATGAGAAACACTGATGAGCTGCCTCCCATATTTACCCCTATTGGGAATTGAACCCCCAACTTAGGTATGTGCCCTGACCAGGAATTGAACCCACAACATTTTGGTGTATGGGATGATACTTCAACCAATTGAGCCACTCAGCCAGGGCCAAATTTTCATTTTTTTTATTGTTAAATATTTTATGGTATGGAAATATCACATATTACTTATCCATTCATTAGTTGATGGACATTTGTGGTGTTTACCCTTTTTGGCTATTTTGAATAATGCTGCAGTTTTCATTTCTCCTGGGTATATACATAGGAGTGGAATTTCTGAGTCATATGGATGTTCTTCATATTTTTGTATGTTTAACCTTTTGTTGAACTGCCAGACTATTATCCCAAGTGGCTACACCAATTTTATTTTCCCAACAGTAGTGATGTTAGAGGATTCCAATTTCTTTTTCTTTTCTTTCTTTTTTTTTTTTTTTAAGATTTTATTTATTTTTAGAAAGAGGGAAAGGGAAGGAGAAAGGGAGAGAAACATCAGTATGTCGTGCCTCTTGAGCACCCCCTACTGGGGACCTGGCCCACAACCCAGGCATGTGGCCTGACTGGGAATGGACCAGGTGACCCTTTGGCTCACAGGCTGGCACTCAGTCCACTGAGCCACACCATCCAGGATGGATTCCAGTTTCTTTACATCTTCACCAACACTTGTTATTTGTCTCTCTCTCTTTTTTTTTAATTCTTTATTTTTTAGAGGGGAGTGAAGGGAGGGAGGTAGAGAAACATTGATGTGAGAAACATCGATCTGTCATTTGCCTCTTGCTCGTGCCCAACCAGGGACTTAACCTGCACCCCACGCATGTGTTCCGACCTTTCGCTTTGCAGGATGACACCCAACCAGCTGAGCCACACCGGTCATGTCCTACCCAGCACCATCCTTGGTTATCTTTTGTAATAGGTCTCCTTTTGTTATTAGATAAATATAATTCCTCATCTGCCATTTTGTTTTCCTCTTTACTAATTCCAACCTGTGTTTAGATTAATTTAGATATGTGTGTCTGATGGGAAAAAATCATTTTTTGAAATTAAAAAAACAATTTTTATGAGTTTATTTGAGCCAAATGATGACATATGCCAGGAAGCAAGATCTCAAATGCTTTCACATCTTTCCTTTTTTTAAAGTACGTACGAGGCATAGCATCTTTTTATGCTGTTTTGTATGGTGAAGTAATAGCAATAACATGACTTGTATTATCAGAAATATGAGATCCAAGATATAGTAACCTTCCTTAAATTATCAGGAATCTTGTGGGGATTTTTCAGGGCCTCTCTATTAAAACAAACATGTCTTAAATAAGCACTCTAACAAAAGAAACATGCAAAACAAAAACACGCTCATCTCTGCAGAGAACAGATTTGTGGTTACCTGAAGCAAAAGGATGAAGTAAGTGAAAGCACTCAATTGTATGTGAAAGATGGTAACTAGATTTGGGTAGTGATCACTTTGTAGTGTTTACAGATATTGAATTACAGTGTTGTTTACCTGAAACTTACATAAGGTTATAACCAATTTTACCTCAGATTTTTTTTAAAGAGGCACTGTAGGGAATCATCCAGCAGCGTCCAGCCTGCATTTTAGCAGCAAAGTGGGAGATACCTCCAAAAGAGATTTCAAAAGTTTTGTCTCTCAGTAGAGAGGGATGGATGGACATGGAAGAGGGTATTAGGGGGGATAAATGGCGATGGGGAAAAGAATAAATTTAAAGAAAAGTTTTCTTTCTACTGTGTTTTCCACTAGTTGTCTGTGGTGGGAGTACTTCTGATCCTGAGGATGGGAATTGAGTACCTGTGGAAGGAACGTACTTGTCTTTCTGACCTTTTAGAACAGTGTTCCCCATACTTTACCGCTCACCCCATGGATAAACTGTTTTTTGAACATAGAAGCCAATATATATTTGTATTACTATACCAATAAGCAAAACCAAAGAGGGGTCACACTTTTAAAGAAGTGTGGAAAATGAGTAAAAGTTCCGGTATTTCCTTCGTGGACCTCAGTTGATAGTCTTATTGCTCTCAGGTGGACATATGCCACTTTTAATGCAGTGTGATGCTGGAGAATTTTGCACGTGGCGTTGGGGATTATGTCATCCTCAGAAGCCTAGGGTACGGCAGCCCTTTGTCCTCACATTACTGAGGGCCCTCTGCCTGAGGTCTTTCCTTCCATTTAGGGTTGGATTCTCAGTGTTGCCCAATTCACTCACTGATAAATCTTGTCGCTGCAGGTACAGGTGCAGGTACAGCAGTCTCCGCAGCAGGTTTCGGCTCAGCAGCTCTCCCCGCAGCTTACCGTTCACCAGCCTGCTGAGCAGCCCTTCCAGGTCCAGGTGCAGATCCAAGGCCAAGCACCACAGCCGGCAGCCCCTTCCATCCAGACCCCATCTCTGCAGAGCCCCAGCCCCTCACAGCTGCAAGCAGCCCAGATCCAGGTGCAGCACGTGCAGGCAGCCCAGCAGATCCAAGCTGCAGAAATTCCAGAGGAACACATCCCACATCAGCAGATCCAGGCTCAGTTGGTGGCTGGCCAGTCTCTTGCTGGGGGTCAGCAGATCCAAATCCAGACTGTGGGTGCCCTCTCTCCACCGCCGTCCCAGCAGGGCTCACCTCGGGAAGGGGAGCGGCGGGTTGGCACAGCCAGTGTTCTCCAGCCAGTGAAGAAGCGCAAAGTGGACATGCCCATCACTGTGTCCTATGCCATCTCAGGGCAGCCAGTGGCCACTGTGCTGGCCATTCCACAGGGCCAGCAGCAGAGTTACGTATCTTTGAGGCCAGACTTACTGACAGTGGACAGTGCCCACCTGTACAGTGCCACTGGGACCATTACTAGCCCTACAGGAGAAACCTGGACCATCCCTGTTTACTCTGCCCAGCCCCGGGGGGATCCTCAGCAGCAGAGCATCACTCACATTGCCATTCCCCAAGAAGCCTACAATGCAGTTCACGTCAGTGGCTCACCCACGGCCTTGGCAGCTGTAAAGCTAGAGGATGACAAGGAGAAGATGGTGGGCACCACATCTGTAGTGAAAAACTCCCATGAAGAGGTAGTGCAGACCCTTGCAAACTCTCTCTTTCCAGCACAGTTCATGAATGGCAACATCCACATTCCAGTGGCTGTGCAGGCTGTGGCAGGCACATACCAGAATACAGCTCAGACTGTCCATATATGGGACCCTCAGCAGCAGCCACAGCAACAGACTCCCCAGGAACAGACGCCTCCGCCGCCGCCGCCGCCGCAGCAGCAGCAGCAACAGCAGCAGCTCCAGGTTACTTGTTCAGTAAGTGAGACTTATCTGTGGGGCAGTCTGCTCCCTGAGGACCCAGTGCAACACAGAACTTGCCTGGCAACCTCTGGTTGTTTATGCAATGATGTTAGTCTTGCAGTAGTATAGTATTTAATATTTTAGTTGAGGGTGGGGGGTGCACAAAAAGCAGCAGGTGAAGCTATGCAACAGGAAGGAGTTCTATCCTGGTACCTGGAGGTAAATGAAATGACCAGTAACAGCTTTGGAGGTTGCCTGGGATGCTTCATTATCTCTTTTTAAGAAGGGTAAAATTCTAGGTAGAGACTACTGGAACATTCCAAATGTTGTCCTAGTCCTAGGAGCTACTTTCTGCATCGCAAATGAAAGGATCTGGTAGAACCCTAGTAGTTCAGCACACAGACTCTAAACTCAGCTCAGTGAAGAGGACGTGAAATTGTTTCTTTTTCTCTTGTCATCTGTGGATACAGTGGAGGTGAATTGAAAGATCTAAAATATCTCCTGGTTGGCCTATCACTTTCAGGAGCCTTGAACAAGCCAGCTATGTAGTGTGATTTCCCAAAGAGTGGTGTTTTTTTGTTTTTTGTTTTAATTGATTTTTAGAGAGGTGACGGGAGAGAGAGAAACATCGATTTGTTGTTCCACTTATTCATGCATTCATAGGATGATCCTTGCATGTACCCTGACTAGTTGTTGAACCCACAGCCTTGGCATATTGGAATGGTGCTCTAACCAACTGTGCTACCCAGCCAGTGATTCTTAAAAAGAATCAAGATAAGCCTCAGGTAATTGAGTTTTCTATATGGCAGCTATGTTGAAAATTTTTTTTAAAGCTTTTTATTTTGAAATAGTTTATTTTTATAGAAAAGAAGCAAAAATAGGACTCTGTTGAAATTTTAGCTTTAAAATTGTTCGGCTCTTTTATCCCTTCTAATTTTTAATCTCTTTAAGGCTATCATCTTTTAAGCCTAGTAGTAAACTTTCCAGTCCCTTGTCTAGCAGAACTTTAGAGTGGATATAAGACCTCTGGTCTCATGGACCTGCTGGAGACAGTGTGCCCTCAGAGGGCAGGGGCTCCTGGGAATGCATGTAACGGAGCTGGCACAAACAAGGCACTGGCAGACCAGGGGCCACACTCAGAAACTCAGGCCATACATGATTTTGCTTGGGCAAAAGATGACCAAGTGGTTTCATACCAGCAGCAGTACATTATCTTAGGTGACTTTGTTAAGGAACTGTGAAACATCCAGGTGTCAGGCCTAGCAGTAGAACAAGACAGTCATTGTTTCAGGTTGTTTATAGTCTAGTTATAAGGCAGTATAATCAAGTGGGCATTGTGTGCCACACACACAAAGAAAAATTGGGAATTCAGAAATCATTCTAGGTTAAAAAGTCAGCAGAGGCATCTTTGTGGAAAAAGCACTGTATGCTTTCTAGTTTATAGCTTGCATTGACAGAAGAATAGAGGAGCATGAGCACAGAGCCAGGGATGGACAGAAGAGACATGGCTTAGGGCAACATGAGAGGGGGACTGGGGGAGAGGAGATAGTACAGGGACAGTGGGGTTGTCTTCCCAAAGTGAAGAGTTGACCTTAATCCGATGATTTGTGGTGGGCAATTTTCCCAGAATCTGGAATTGTGATAAGAAGAAGAATCAAGAGCAGGCGTGTAGAATTGATTGCATGTAAGAGACCACCCAGGAGACTTGTAACAGTTCTGTACTCAACCTTTGTTCACACAGGCATGAAGCTGATCAGGCCTCTCCTGGCTCCCATGTTTAATTTGCAGGTCAGGGCTCTTAGTGCTCATTAGTTCCTTAATAATTTGTACATTGGGCCCTTCAGCAGATCTTTTCTGGAGTTTTGTTTAGGGGACCCATGTTCTTCAGTGCTGTGTCTCCTTTGGGAAAGTCCTAATAGGGACTTACATCAGATATTACCAAAAAAAGAAAAGTTGGGAAGAATGCTTATCATGTAGGTAGGAAAGATGAGTTTGTCCATCTGTACTACAAACTTTCCCCTGCCCTCCTTTACCAGCCTCTGTGCTGGGCAACAGAGGTGAGTGAGACTGCCTCTGCCCTTGGAGCGCTCACGGCCCGTGGGAAGGTAGTTGTGCTGTGATGTGGGGCCAACCCTAGGGAGAGCTGATGGCGGTGTTGTGCCCCTTCACCTGCCATACCCTTTACAAAAGCTCTCATTGCCTGTCTTTAAAACCAGACTTATGGAGGAACATCCTTCCTTTGACCTCTCATCCACCTTCATCAGTTGCCTCATTTCTCTGCTCTGCTTTATTCCGAGAGTTCTCAAATGATTATCTTTACAAGCCAGCTCCATTTGCTCACCAGTTTTCAACACACAACTGAGTGGTCTGCTCTTGTGAACCAAGGTCATCAGTGGCCAGATCTAACATGCATTATCTGTTTTCAGTCTCAGCAACATACAACATAGCCTTCTTGAAACTCTCCTTTGGGTTTTCATGTTGTTACACACTCCTGGTTATTTCCCTGCTCCATTGATTCTTTTTTAAACATTTTTATTTATTTATTTTTAGAGAGAGGAGAAAGGAGGGAGAAAGAGAAGGGAAGAAACACCGATGTCAGAGAGAAATATTGATCAGTTGCCCCTCACTGGCACTCCGACTGGAGACCGAACCTGCAACCCAGGCATGTCTACTGACCAGGAATTGAAATGGCAACCTTTTGCTTTGTGGGATGACATCCAACCAACTGAGCCACACTGTTCAGGGCCCATTAATTCTTTGTCCTTCTCCGGAGGCTGCTGGTGCCTTCTCCTCTATCCGAACCATACATCTTGGTGTTGATCAGAGTAGAATACTAGTCCTCTCTTCTCCTTCAGGAATTTCTGTCTTTGACATGGTTTTTTTTAGCAACCTCTAGAATGAGGAGTGTCCAACCTTTTGGTGTCTCTCGGCCATGCTAGAAGAAGAGATGTCTTGGACCATACATTAAGTACATAAACTAGCAAAAACTGATGAGCAAAAAAAAAAGGTTTTAAGTGAATTTACGGTTTTGTGTTGGGCTGCATTCGTAGCCATCGTGGGCCGCAGGTTGGACACCCCTGCTGCTGTGCTGCTGCTGAAGATACTCAGTGACACTATCTGCCAGCATTGTTCTCCATGTAACATATTTTAACTCATTTAATTCTCACACCAGCCTTAAGATTTTACAAATGAAGAAACTGAGGCACAGTTTAAACAACAAGACCAAAGCCACCATTAGTAAGTTGGAGAGTTGGGATTCAACCCTGGGCAGAGAGGGTCTGCAGCCCATCCTAAGTGCTGTGCTGCACAGTTATCTAACACACAGATCTTGTGTCTCTACACTATGCCTTTCCCCTTAGGACCCTCCTCACACATTCAGCAGCTCCTTATTTCCTTGGATTTAATTGAAGATTTCTCAGCTCTTCATTAGCATCAATGCTTGCACTAATGAAAACTTCCCCATCAGCTGGTTATACCCATTTGTTTAAGCCAGAAACCCAGGATGCATCCTTGAATCTGCTTTCTCTTACTCCTCACAGCCACATTGGTTCCACCACCAAACTTCTCAGACTCTTAAATTATCTCCACTGCCAGCTACTGTGGTAGTCTAGGTGACCAGCACCTGCTTCCACTTTTACTTTTCATTCCATTCTCCATAGATGAACAAGAATACTTTTTCTTAATGTAAGATCATGTCACTTCCCAGCTTAAACTCTCTAAGGGCTCCATTATAAATCGAAAAAACAAAAGCAAAAAATCACTATACCACAGTGTACAAGGTCCTACTTACACCAACAGTTTTTAACCTTGGTGGGATGATTACTACCCCTACCCACTGATAGACAGTTGGACACATGTGGAAGAATTTTGGTTGTCAAGATGCTTGGGAATGTTACATTTAGTGCGTGGAGGCACACAATGAAGGAGGCCTGGCCCAGAAGCCAGTAGAGAAGCACTGCCCCACCTCACTACCCAGTCAGACTCCTAGATTTTCAGCTTGAGTAGATGGTGTTGCCACTGAACAAGGTAGGGAGGGTACTCGGAGGATAGTTCTCGAATGGTGGGGGTGCATTCTCTCCATAGATGTTAGTCTGCAGTGGCTCTGAGATGTCCCGTTGGAGATATACAGTGCCCACTGGGTATATTAAGGGGAGATCTAGTTAGCATAGTTGGGGGCACAAAGTTAGCCATCATTTTCACAGATGTGGAAATCCAGACTGGGAAAGCGGGTGAGACTCAGCGAGGAGAATAGTGGTTGAACTGAGAAGTGTGTCTAGAGTGGAGCTCTAGGGTTGACAAAGGTTTAAGGGTCTGACACTGGTATTTGCTTTACCTCCTTGTTTAATACTGTATATATCGAAGCTACTATGATATTTTTTATTTTTATTCATAGCAGATTTATGTGTCATGGATAAATGATTGTGCTTTCGATTTGAATGATTTGACATTGCTCAGTCCTGGAAAGGAGAATTGCTCAAGGAAATTTGTTTAGAATGTGGACAGGTGTGTGAGACCCAAGAACCTGTGCCTGGTATGTGTTGGTGTCTGTCCACCTGATGGAGATTATGATTCAGACTCATGGACATACTCTGTCCCTGTGTCCTGTGGCTTGGCTGTTAGCCCATGGAGGATGGGACCACTTCTCCTTTGGAGGCAGGCAGCTAGAGCAATGCCTCTGGTCTTCAGAAAATGTCCTCATGAGCCAGAGCGCTATTATTGAGACAGAACATGAAAGAAATAGAACCTTATAGCTAGAGAAGCCATCCAGACCCTAAAGCCTTCTTCCATATATTACAGTGGCAGGGAGAGGGACACAACTTCGTTGTACTTTTCTTTGTCTAAACAGTGATTCTCAACCATGGCTTGACTTTAGAATAACCTGGGGAGCATTTAAAAACAATGATAGGCCCTGGCAGATAGCTTTGTTAATTGGAGCATTGTTCTATGCACTAAAAGATTGCGGGTTCCATTCCCAGTCAGGGCACATACCTAGTTGCAGTTTTGATCCCTGGCTGGGGTACATATGGGAAGCAACTGATCAGTGTTTCTCTCGCTCTCTCCTTCTTTGGCTAACAATTAATAAACCTTTGCTCGGGTGAGGATTTAAAAATAATAATAATTAAAAAATAAAAATACTGATAGCAGCAGGCCCTCAACCTTAGACAAAGTAAATCACAATCTTTGGGATTAAGGCTTGGGCATGTGAGTATTTTTTAAAAGCAGTCTAGATGACTTTAAGGTGCAGCCAAGTTTAGTGATCACTGCTCTGGGCACTTGGTACTCAAAGTGTGGTCTGCAGAGCCCTGGCTGGTGTGGCTCAGTTGGTTAAAGTGTCATCTGGTAAACTGACAGGCTGTAGGTTCATTCTCCAGCATATGGAAGCAGCCAGTTGATGCTTCTCTCTCACAACAATGTTTTCTCTCTCCCTCTCTAAAAACAATGAAAAAAGTGTCCTTGGGTGACGATACATATTTTTTAAAAAAAGAAAGAAATACAGAATCTCAAATCCCACCTGAGACCTTTTGAATCAGAATCTGCACTTTAATAAAATCCCCAAGTGATTTTTTTGCTTATTATAATTGGACAAGCAGTGCTTCAGGCTAGTAATATTTGATCAGTGACTAAACATTAGAATTGCCTTTTGACTTACGAAGCCTTTTTTTTTTTTTTCTCTTTTAAAATTTTATTTATTCATTTCTAGAGAGAGGAGAAGGGAGGGAGAAAGGGAGAGAAACATTAAAGTGTGAGACTCAGCGATCAGTTGCCTCTCAGCACTCCCCCAACGAGGAACCTGGCCCACAACCCAGGCATGTGCCCTGACTGGGAATCAAACTGGCAAACATTTGGTTCTCAGGCAGGTGCTCAACCCACTGAGCCACACCAGCCAGGGCAACATGCAAAAGTTTTAAAAAGACTTATTTATGCCTCTTTAAAAAGAGATTCTAGGGTGGAGCACAGGTATTGGTGTTTTTAAATCAGAGATTAAAAAATATAGCCAGTGCTGAGAATTGCTGTACTAGGCTTTGCTGTCCCAGGTGTAAGGAGTAAAATTTCAAAGATTCTTGAAAATGGGACAAGCAGAGAGGTTTTTTGTTTGTTTGTTTGTTTGTTTTTTAACTAAAAGAACTACAAGTAATGTTTTTCCGGCAGTTTTCTTAAAGGGCCTGAAAGAAAAGAGTATTGACACATTTTGATGGTTTCTCTCTCATAGGCTCAAACTGTTCAGGTTGCCGAAGTTGAACCACAGTCACAGCCACAGCCTTCCCCAGAACTTCTGCTTCCAAATTCTCTGAAACCAGAAGAAGGGCTCGAAGTATGGAAAAACTGGGCCCAGACCAAGAATGCTGAGCTAGAGAAGGATGCTCAGAACAGACTGGCGCCCATTGGGAGTGAGTGTTTGGGAGAGAGAGGGAGGCGGGCCCTGTCCAGTACTCAGTGACACTGGACCAGTAGGAGGAGAGAATGGCAAGAAAGTGGTGTCCCTTGACTCTGGGGACCGGGAGCCCCACCTGACATAGTATGCTGAGTTTAAGACAAGCAACAAGCAGGCCTAACCAGCTGCAACTGAGGAGGGTTATGGGCTTTGTCCAAGATTGGGCATTTTTATACATGTAGATTTCTGGAGTTGACCTATGTCTGGGCAGAGCAGCTTCTGAGAGGAGATGGAAACCAGTTAGTGCTCAAGGCCCTTCTTCCTTAGAATTATTCTTACATACGTCCTCACATTACAGAGGGTGGAATTTTTTTTCCCTTTCATGTCATGGCCCTAATAAAAATTTTCAGGATATCTAAGGTGGGGAGGATTATGGGAAGGAAGCCCTTGATGTACTAGAGCATACAGGATTGTTGCCTCAGTAAGCCAGATAAAAGTGGCTGTTTCCATTCCAGCCCTAATGGGAAATACTTGCTGTCAGCTGTCCTTTCAGGAGTATGAGCACCAATAAAGAGATGACTGTTGACAGGACCCCCATTCACCTTTGGGTTTGTGTTGTAGGACGTCAACTTTTGCGATTCCAAGAAGATCTCATCTCTTCTGCTGTGGCTGAGTTGAATTATGGGCTCTGTCTAATGACACGAGAAGCTCGAAATGGAGAAGGAGAACCCTATGATCCCGATGTACTCTACTATATTTTCCTGTGCATTCAGAAGGTAGGAAGCGACTTCACAGGAACATGGGTGAGCCGTGTTCCGATCAGGTATTTACTGGATATTCAAATTAGTAAAATGACAAGCAAGGGGTAATTGTTAGGACATTCTCTTTCACTGTATAGTGAGGTTTTTGGGTTTTTTAAAAGATTTTATTTATTTTTTAGAGGGGAAAGGAGGGAGAAAGAGAGAGAAACATCAATGTGTGGTTGCCTCTTGTACACCCCCACCTGGGGACCTGACCTACAACGTAGGCATGTGCCCTTACTAGGAATTGAACCAGGAACCCTTAGGTTCACAGGCTGGCACTCAGTCCACTGAGCCATGCCAGCCAGGGCTATAATGAGTTTTTAAATGCAGGTGTTTTGTTTGTTTGTTTGTTTGTAAAAGACCTACATGTTCAATTTAGAAAATAAGAAAATAAACATTATTCATAATTTTGCCTTATAGAGAAACTCCTATTAAAGTATTTTGTACATTAAAAAGAAACAGAAGAACAAAGAAAAACGCACCCCCAAAAATACTCGGTATATTACCTGAGAGCCCTTTTTTTTGTATTTTTTTTCCATTATCATTTAGTCCCCTGAGATTCCATCCCTCAAGACCACACTGTTGTCCATGTCCATGAGCCCTTTTTCCTTTTTGCTCAGTCCCTCCACCCCTGAACACCCCCCTGCTCTTTAGCTGCCATCCTGCTCTGGATAAGTCTGTTTCTAGTTTGCTTATTCAGTTTCTTCATTAGATTTCACATATGACTGAAATCGTGTGGTCTTTCTCTGACTGGCTTATTTCACTTAGCATAATGTTCTCCAGGTTCATCCATAATATTTTAAAGAGCAAAATTTTTTTTTTATGGCCAAGTAGTAGTCTACTGTGTAAATGTTCCACAGGTGTTTTATCCACTCCTCTGTTGATGGACAGTCGGGCTGCTTCCATGTCTTGGTGATTGTAAATAATGCTGCAATAAACATAGGGGTGCTTATGTTCTTTCGAATTAGTGCTTTGAGTGCCTTTGCATATATTCCAGGAAGTAGGATTGCTGGGTCCAAAGGCAGATCTATTTTTAATTTTTTGAGGTATCTCCATACTGCTTTCCACAGTGGCTGCGCCAACCTGCATTCCCACCAGCAGTGCAAAAGTGTTCCCCTTTCTCAAAATCCTTGCCAGCACTTGTTGTTTGTTGAGAGTCTTTATTTTTTTAAATTATAAAACACTTTATTAATGCTTTCCTTTTTGTTGAAGTAAACATGGTTTGCATAAAAGTAATTTATCGCAAAGTCTGGTGCTAACATACAGCTTATCTTACTGTTCCCTACATTAAAACAAAATAAATATTTGAAGGAATGGAATTAGAATATACAACTGTAGTTTGGTTTTCAAGACACCTAAGGTGAAGCATCACACTGGGTGCATTGTTTCCATGCTGTCTTAATTCCATGCTCCCCCTGATCCTGGAAGACAGGCACAGCCATCTTCATTTACAGGCAAGGAAACTGATCCCCCAAAGTTAAAAGACTTACACCACTGGCCCCAGAGTCTTCACCGTTGCGGGGGGTGGGGGTGGGGGTGGTGGTGTTTGTTTTTTGCGTGGGGTTTTTTGCTGCCATAAGACAATGCCTTGCCTGGATGAAACAGCATTCACAAAATCTGCCGCACTGACCCAACTTTTAAGTGTGTTCTGAGGGTTGGTTCACACCATCTGACCTGTTCTGTGGAAGTATTCATTAAATGCCGATGGCTTTGACCTAGTATACAGATTTAGTAAGGGCAGAATGGGTACGTGGAGGTGATGGTATGGTAGAAAAATGTTTATTTCCCCTGAACATCTTACCCAGGAGATTACTAACAACTTTTGTCGATTGCTTTTCTTTTAGTATCTTTTTGAAAATGGACGGGTTGATGACATTTTCTCCGATCTTTATTACGTTCGATTCACGGAGTGGCTACACGAAGTTCTGAAGGACGTTCAGCCCCGAGTCACTCCACTTGGTAAGAGTCTTCCTAGTCCCTGGATGTCTTTCCCACCTGGGTTTAAAACAAATTGGCTGCTGGTGTGGCTGGCTGTGATACAGCATGTGGGTGAGGATGCTGTAAATCCCAGGCACCAGCATCCGCCTCTGTGCTGCTTGCCCTGATGTGGACAGGGCACTGCTCACCAGACACAGGACCCAGCTGGTCCCAGTGTGGCAAGAACATGGGCATTCAGAGCGTGGAGTAGTTATTCTTTTCTTTTCCTATTTAAATTTACTGATTAAAATCAGAATCATTGCAAAAACTAAGAATTATTAACTGTTTGATCTGTAGGTTACTTGTGTTACATATTGGGGTTTTTTAAATATGTTTGAACATATGTTTTACATATACGGGGGGCAAAAGTAGGTTTACAGTTGTTCGTATTGAAAATAATTCAGTAATTAATAATACAAGAATAAACTCTGTTTTGCATACTCACAATTGTAAATCTACTTTTTCCCCACCCTGTATAGAATGTAATTTTTGTTTTACCTGTAGGTAACTTCCTGGGCAGCATGTTATGTTGGAAAATAGATGAGTTTTGTAGTAGATTGCCTGAGGTGTTTATTATTTTTTTAATAAATTTTATTTTTTAGAGCAATTTTCGGTTTACAGAAAAATTGAGCAGGAGGTACAGAGAACTCCCATATATCCTTCACACAGTGTTTCCCTATTATTATCTTGTATTAGTGTAGTATACTTATTACAATTGATGAATCAGTGTTGATACATTATTAATTAAAACCTACAGTTTACATTAGGGTTCACTCCTTTTGTTGTACATTCTGTGGGTTTTCACAAATGTATAATGACATGTGTCAACTATTACCATATCACAGAGAAGTTTCATTGCCCTGAAATTCCCTGTGTCCCACCTGGTCATCCCTCTCTTCCGCCCCCTGCGTCCCTGGCTACCACTGCTCTTTTTACTATCTCCATAGTTTTTGCCTTTTCTGGAATGTCATATAGTTGGAATAATTTAGTATGTGGCCTTTTCAAAATGGTTTTTTTCACCTAGCAGTATGCATTAATATTCTGTTCTTTTTGTGGCTTGATAGTTCATTTCTTTTTCTTGCTGGTAATATTCCATTGTATGGTTGTACCACAATTTGTTTATCCATTCACCTATTGAAGAACTTCAAAGTTTTGGCAATTATGAATAAAGCTGCTATAAACATTGTGTGCAGGTTTTTGGTGAAAGAAGAGGCAGATCAATGGAACATAATAGGGAGCCCAGAAATAGAGCCACAAAAATAAAACCAACTTACCTTTGACAAAGGAACAAAGGGAGTTCAAGGAAGAAAGGACATTTTTAACAAATGATGCTAGAACTACTGGACATCTGTGTGCAGAAAAATGAACCTAGACACAGACCTTACAGCCTTCACAAAACTTGACTCAAGATGGATCACAGACCTAAATGTAAAATGCAAAATTATAAAACTCCTCCTAGAGGTAATAGGAGAAAATCTAGGTGACCTTGGGTTTGGTGATTACTTTTTATACACAACACCAAAAGTTCTGTGATCCATGAAAAAAAAATTGGTAAGTTGGCTTTCATTAAAATTAAAAACTTCTCTGTGAAAGACATGGTTAAAAGAATCAAAACATAAGCCACAAACTGGGAGAAAACGTTTGTAAAACACATACCTGATGAAGGACTGGTATCCAAAATACACAAAGAACTCTTTAACACTCAACAGGAAACAAACAATGGTTAATAAATGCACAAAAGATCTGGACAGATGTCTCACTAAAGAAGATTTACAAGTGGTAGACAAATATATGAAAAGATGCTTATTATTATATCATCAGGAAATTGCGAATTTAAATAATAAGATACCACTATGTAACTATTAGAATGGTTAAAATCCCAAACACTGGCATCATCAAATTCTGGACAGGGGGCAATAATAACCCTCATTCATTGCTCGTGGGAGTGGAAAGTAGTATAGTCACTTTACAAGACAATTTGACATATTTGTACAGCAGTACACATTTCCTTACCTGTGATCCAGCAATCACGCTCCTTGGTATTTGCATTGAAAACAGTCTAGTTAACATCCATCACCACTCATAGTTTGTTACTTAATCCCTCCCCTCCAAAAAAAAAGTATTGGTTAAATATTTTTGAATGCCTACTTTGTGCCAGGCAGAACTCCAGGTGTATAGATAATAATGGTGATTACAGTCTACCAGAGAGAGACAATCAAATTTATGATTAAGAAAGGGCTTTGAAGACAACGGAATGGAAAATGTTAAGGGCAGTAGAAGGGAGGCCTCGCTGAGGGGCTATCATTAGAACAGAGACCTAAGTGAATTAGTTAACCTTACTACTTGATTTGCAAATTTTCAAGCCAGGTGTAGCTATGCAGAATTTGCTTTTTAAAACTTTTTATTGTGGAATTTCAAGCATGTATAAAAGAATACTAAATAGATTAATGACACTCTCATGTACCTGCTATTTATTCCTGGCAAATACTGTTTCATATATACACCATTTATACCCACCTCCGTGTTATGGTAAATCCCAGGTACTTTACTCATAAATATTTTAGTATGTATTACTGACATACCACAATGCCGTCATCATAAATGCCATATCTTTTTAAAAAGATAATTATATAATGTCATCAAAATCTCTATCTTTGAAGTTTTAATTGTCTCATCAATGTCATAATTTTGTTTTATCTGAGTCAAGGTGTCAGTTCCACACATGAAATTACTGCTATGCCTTTTAATGTTTTGTTTAAGCCTTTGATTTCCTCCTTGATTTTTTTCTTGCAATTTATTATGGAAGAAAGTAGCCTTTTAAATTGTCAGAGTGTACATTTTGGTGATTATATCCCCATGGTGTAGTTTGACATACTCTTCTGTCCCCTGTATTTACAGTTAATTGGGAGTTGCATATAAAGACTCAGTTGATCAGGTTTTGTTTTTGTGTGTGTGTATGTTTTCTTTTTGGAAAGATTACATTAGAGATGGGTTATTTATTTTCATCAGATGTCCATAATATCTGGATCCATTAATTTATTTGTTGTAAAAGGTGGTATTCTAATGTTATTACCCCTTCATTATTAGCTGAAAAACAAACTCTTCCTTGTCAACCTTTTGTATTCCTGGCAGTATAAATTGTATAGAAGAGGAAGGAGAAGGGCTCATTTCTTCTCCTTTGTTTAGCAATTTTCACAGGAATAGTTGCTTCACCACCTTCCCCTGGTGATAACCAATTAATTGGGTGGGTTCTTTGTTTGTCTTTAACAATCATCGTGAACTAATGAATTTAAACATATTTAATGTGATTCAGTACGTTGCCATTATCTTTTTTTTTTTTCCTTAGTTTACTGATGCGCAAATTGTCCCATCTGTGGATATTTTGGAGCTTCTTTAAATTGGTCCTTGAGTTCTTTTGACACAACTATTCTTCCTTGATTTCTGGTTTTCAAAATGTTTCAGGCTCATCTGGGACATTTCTTGTCCCGCTGTAGAATCAGTCTGTTTTCCATGGAGCCTGTTTTTTCAAGTGGTAGACGGTATTTCAGTATCAAACCAAAGTCTGGATGCTAGATGTGCTCATTTCTCCTGAATTGGGCATTGTTTTGGGCCTTAAAGTGGGAAGAACCAAAAATACAAAAAACCAAAATAGATCATTCTGATACTTGTAGTTCAGAACAGAACTACAAGGCTTTTATATGATATCTGTATATGTATCACCTCCCATGCCAAGAGTTTCAATTTTCATGCATTAAGTTTAAGTTGTGTTGTTAAGACGTGATTAAAGCCCTAGCCGGTGTGGCTCAGTTGGTTGGAACATCGTCCTATAACCAAAAGTTTGGGGATGTGTTCCCAGTCAGGGGCCTGTGTGTTCCCTAGTCCAGGAGCATACGGGAGGCAACCAGTCCATGTTTCTCTCTTCCTTCCTGTCTTTCTAAAAGCAATGAAAACAATATCCTCATGTGAGGATTTAAAATAAAGGACGAAGCACCAATTAAAGGCAGGAATGTGACACCAGATGGCAGAGTGAATCCAGGGAAAATAGGGCATGCTGCTCCTGGGCCTGGCCTTCCCTGAAGAAGGCTGTCTTCTGCCACTCGTGCTTCTCCAGGCATGTCCAAGGGCAGGGAAGCTTATCTCATTGTCACTAGACCACAGAAGATAAGAGTAGAGGCAGAGCTGCCCTAAAGAGATGGAAATGCACTATTGGAGTCTGAGCCAGCTTTGGCAAGAACAGAGGAATGTATTAGACTTTTCCTGCTTCAGGAAGAACAGAGGAATATATTAGACTTTGCCTGCCTGGAGAATTCTGAGACTGCTGCAGAAAAGCGCTGGTGTCGGCTGCTGCTGTTTCACCAGGCCCTCAGGGCCTGGCTCACACACACTTACACATTGACTGTTTAATGAAAACATGAAGGGGGTTTGGTGATCCAACGTCTAGCCTTTGTCCCTGCGCAGCTCTCAATTTGCTAATGTACCAGTGGCTTACAGTGAAACCTGCCCAGTGGTTCTGAGTGGCAGTCTCTCCTTGACCCAGAGAGAGGACGAGAACGGGCTTGCTTTCCAGAGATGGAAGACACAGCAGAAGGGTTAACAAGAGCAGATGAACACGCGTACCAGTTTTTTGGGCCCTGGACACCTTTGAAAACATTATGAAAGCTCTGTGCCCTCTTTCCAGAGAAGTATACATAGAGGCTGAGTTTGGATTATAATTTTGGGTGTTTCCCTTTCCCTGAGTCCTATCCTTTTGCCCCATGTTCACTTTGGATTAAAGGAAGAATTGACATCAGGTAAGATCAGTCTTATGTAAGGCATTGGTTCTCAAAGTACGGTCTTAGGTCAACTCGTTAGAAGTGCTCATTGTCATGTCCCACCCCAGAAGTTTGTGTTGGGACCCAGCCATTTGTGTTTTAACAACCCTTCCAGGTGGTTCTGCCATACCTGGAAGACTTCTCTGGTTAAACCCTGTAGTCCTGTGTAGTCCTGCTTGTGCCTCACACCTCCCGTCCTGCACCTTTGAGGGAACGTCTGCCATCCTCTTGTTGTAGCAGTACTCATTTCCTCCTAGGCTATGTCCTGCCCAGCCACGTGACTGAGGAGATGCTGTGGGAGTGCAAGCAGCTCGGGGCTCACTCCCCTTCCACCCTGCTGACCACCCTCATGTTCTTTAATACCAAGTAAGTGTTCTAGAGGCTCCATACTTGGCCACTGCTGGCATCTGCCCAGTGAAGAGGGTGGAAATTATCCACAGACTCCTGAATTCCTTTGACACATATTTGAGAGCCTTTGGGCTACCAAAAGCCCTCAGCCCCACCTGGCTGCATTTTGCGTGGTGACCTGTGAAGCAGACAGCCTTGCCAGACCCCCACCATCAGTCTTGATGTGGCTTCTCCACTAGACAGTGTGTGTGGGTGTGGGCCTGCCCATATGCTGGGAATGTGGGCATTGGCTCCTCTAAAGTGCTGATGGCAGAGGGCAAATGATGGTCTCCTCCTGGCACCCCTCCCTTTGCCTTGCTTTCACTTGTGGTGCAGGTACTTCCTATTGAAGACAGTGGACCAGCACATGAAGCTGGCCTTCTCCAAGGTCTTGCGACAGACAAAGAAGAACCCCTCCAATCCTAAGGATAAAAGCACGAGTATTCGGTACCTGAAGGCACTTGGGATACACCAGACTGGCCAGAAAGGTAGGGGAAGGAGGCAGGGGCCCAGAAACAGTGCTACTTGTCCTGCTGTGTCCTTGTTCCTGAGGGGCTAGTGATGAGTGTGGGGTTGGGATTTGGATAGGAATTCTCCTTTCTTTTCTCCTCAGCCAGAAACTTCAAACTCTTCAAGAAGCAGAGATACTCTGGAAAAGATAGCTCCCTTTTCCTTTGATAGTCACTCTTCATGCCTCACACCCTTTTCCCTTCCGGTATTTCTTAGTTGGGATGGCTGGAAGCCTGAGGTTCCAGATCTGGGCATGAGCTAAAGCAGTCGGCTGCCATGTCTGTGGTGGTGAGGTTGTGTTTTATAGTTACAGATGACATGTATGCAGAACAGACGGAAAATCCAGAGAATCCACTGAGATGTCCCATCAAGCTCTACGATTTCTACCTCTTTAAATGGTGAGGAGGCTTTATTCTAAGTGGGTGAATGTGTGCGTGCGTGCCTGTATACACAGGCATTCTCTAGTGCCCAACAGTAAAAACACCTTTTCAAAACAAAGCACAAAAGCAGCCTTACTGCTTTTCCCAAAGCATATGATGTACCTGCCACTGTGATGTAAAAGGGGTCCCTGCTCCCTGATGGTCCCCTTTCCTGGAAAGGAAATGAAGGTAGAGGGAGGCAGGTATGGAGAGGCTGCCTCCTTCACATATTGAGCATCTTCTTAGGCTTGACCTTTGGTCACTACCACCATCATTCTAGGGGGGTACCCCTTTCCATGGCTCCTGTTCTTTTGTGCCTGAAGTTTGGCTGCCATCTTCACATCAATGCCCGAATGATCTGTGTTATAGGTCTTCCCATGTTACTTAAATTAAAACCTTCAGTGGTTTTCTTTTACTCTGAGAAGACAGTAGTCCTAATATGGCCTTGTTAGGCCTTTCACTCACTCCCCGTTGCTAACCTCATCTCCATGTTGCTCTTTACACTGGCCCCTCTGCACTTAAGGGGCCTCTGCACTTTTTTATCCTGTTGGGCAACCTTCGTGCCACTCCACCCCCCTACCCATCTGACAGTTCCTCTCCATCCCTGTTCTCAAACACAGCTTTATCAGGGAAGCATTTTCATACTTCCTACCTGTTTCCTCAGGCTCTTTCCTCTATTTTATCTCTGACCGTTGGTCATTTTGTGTGTATTTGTGTAAGTGTTTGATTACTGTCTGCCTCTCCCCTTACCTGTAAGCTCCAGGAGGTAGGGACTGTTGGGTCTTGCTCATTCTCCAACATGAACACCTAATGCAGGACTAGCGCACAGTAGCTCTTCAATAAATCTTGAGAGGATGGCATGTGTTAAGTACTTAAGAAAGGTACAACACAACAGTGAGGGGTTAGGAGATTGGGGGGTAAGCCCAGGTAAGGGCCCCAGTCCCTCAGGTACAGTTGAAGGATTATCAGTGGATTGGTTAAAGGAAACAACTTGAGCAAAGACTTATGGCTGGACTCCGGTAGATGAGCCCTGGGAGCCCTGGGCAGCTGGTTAGTCAGAGGAATCAGCTGGCAGTGTGTGAGGGAGGCGTGGAAGAGAGGCAGCCCATCGTTGGTGTTTGAGGTAGTGCATGTTGACCGCATGGAATTCAGTAGCTGTGCCACCATACTTTCCAGAGCTGTGGCCTTCCCAACTTTTGCAGACATCTGTCTGGGAGGTTCAGGTGGGAGGATTGAGATTGTTGTTTTAACCAGCTTTTACTGACATTCTTCAGTCCCCAGAGTGTGAAAGGCCGGAATGACACCTTTTACCTGACACCTGAGCCAGTGGTGGCCCCCAACAGTCCAATCTGGTACTCGGTCCAGCCTATCAGCAGAGAGCAGATGGGACAGATGCTGACTCGGATCCTGGTGATACGAGAAATTCAGGAGGCCATTGCAGTGGCCAGCGCAAGCACCATGCACTGAGATCCCTTAGCCATGGTGCAAGGGAGAAAGCATCCAGGAAAAAATGGACAGACTTTCACACTAAAGAAGAGGCCTCCACTTTTTCTTTTCCTTTTTTATTGGTGTAGTAATGAAGCCTTTTGGACTGCTTCTGTTTAAAATGTAAAAGGAAACTTTGGCCCTTGTGCATCTTCATAAACCTGCTGTGGCAGACTCCTCAGCCCATGGCGGCTCTGGGTTTCCTGAGAGCCAGGTGTTCTAGAAAGTTGCTGGCTGACTTTTTCTTTCTTTCTTTTTTTTTTTTTTTTTTTCCTTTTCTTTTTTCTTTTTATTTTGTCTGGGGCCTGGGGAAAGGGCTTGGACTGTTAGGAGAAATGTGGCCCCTTCCCTTCCTCTTGAAAGACGGACTTGGTGGATGGACCCTCCAGGGACTCTCCAGCTGGCTTCCACTCTGGCCAACTTTGCTGACCACAGGGGGATGGTCTTTTTCATGCTCAGACATAAACTTAGCATCTTAATGGAAGGAAAATGAGGGGAACTTCAATTATGATTTATTAAAGACAATTTCTATTACACCCTCCTTTATGACAAGTGACATTTTAGATGTTAAAGTAAAAACTTTACCATGGCTTTTTTTTTTTTTTTTTTTTTTTTTTTTTTTTTGGCCTAACATTGAGGCCTTAAACTTGAGGCTCCTGTGCCTGATGGAATTCTTGTAACATACACTTGTGTATCATATAAAGATACCACTCTGTTTCTCTTATGTATTCTTAATCTAGTTGTTTATTAAGAATGACAAGCACGTCTTTTCAATATGATAGTGAACAACGCCTCTTTATTTGGGAGGAGACTGGCGGAACAGTGGAAGCAAAGCAGTGCCTGTTAATTGAACAGGCAAAGGTCCTGTGGGCGGGGGCAATACTACGCGGCTAGTGCATGCTGTGCGCATGCGCTTCTTACACCACCACCTCGGTCGCACCTGCCCCGCCCGCACGCAATGCGTCCTGACGTCAGCGACGCGTAGGGCGCGCTGACGATAGCAGCGGGTGTATATTGGCGCGCCTCTGACGCCAGAGGCCTCTGCGGCGTGGTCCTCCGAGGCTCGCGACTTCCCCCCCGCAGTGGCCATGGCGGACTACCTGATTAGCGGGGGCACGTCCTACGTGCCGGACGACGGGCTTACGGCACAGCAGCTGTTCAATTGCGGGGATGGTCTCACCTACAAGTGCGGGCCTAGCGGGCTCGCCTGGGCGAGGAGGGGGGCGGCGCGTTGGGCTGGGAGGCCGGGTGGGGCTTCCATTGAGCCCGCTTGGGTTCGGGCGTAAGGGACAGGTTCCAGGAATTCCCCAGCCATCTCTGGGGCTCACTTTGACAGGTAAAGCGGGGCGGAATGGAGGCGGCATTTTGATAGTGCTTGGGATTTTAGGCTGTAAACTCCATTCTCTGGGCACATGGAGTTGTCAGGGTGTCGGGGCGCTGATGACAGCTAGGTGGCAGAAAAGGTCCTGTCGCTATCTCCACCTTGTGCTCTGTCTTGCCTGTGACACATGGGCTAGGTCCGTGCCCTTTTTGCCCAAATGTCTTACGAGGTGATCTGTGGGGATGGAGTGTCCGGATGTGCTAAGCCTGAACCTTACTCCCAATTTGCTCCCCTACCCTCGTAGTGACTTTCTCATTCTCCCCGGGTACATCGACTTCACTGCAGACCAGGTGGTGAGTATGGCCAGTAAGTGGGTCCTTAGCATTAAGATTGGGCAAGATGCTGCTGTACCCTGGCATACCTTACCAGAGTGGGCTTTGGGGTAGATTTTATGGAATGGTGGTACTAGCATGGAGGTCATACAGGCACCTGTTTTATGGGGGATCTGACACCATCATGTTATATGTAATGTTCTCACATTAGCTGGCCTTACATCCTTAGGACTTGACCTCTGCTCTGACCAAAAAGATCACTCTGAAAACCCCACTGGTTTCCTCACCCATGGACACAGTCACAGAGGCTGGGATGGCCATAGCAATGGCAGTGAGTACCGTGGGGCATGAGGGCAGAAGCAGGGGCCTAATCTTCCCCAAAGGCATACAATCATGTCTTACTCTTTTATTCTACAGCTTACAGGTGGTATTGGCTTCATCCACCACAACTGTACACCTGAATTCCAGGCCAACGAAGTTCGGAAAGTGAAGGTCAGCAGGGCAAGGATCACGGTCAAGAGTTCACAGGGACTGCACTGAGGTGGAGTGGGTGGGAGTGGGGGGTTTATTTTTGCTCCTAATTAAGGATCCCTTTTTCCTACTGTGGAGTTGAGTTCCTGAGCAGAAGAGCCTGAGACCCTGGGTCTTAAGGCAACAGAAGACGACAAGGTGAACAGTGCCTACCTCACACCCATGTCTCCTATTACTGCGTTTGAGGTGCTGGTGTGATTTGACCCTGTGGCACTGCCAAAGGGGAAGTTGGCATAGACCCCAGTCTTCAGATCAAGAACCTGATGAAAGTGGTTCAGAAATGCCCATTCTCGTCATCCCTTCCAGAAATATGAACAGGGATTCATCACGGACCCAGTGGTCCTCAGCCCCAAGGATCGAGTACGGGACGTGTTTGAAGCCAAAGCCCGGCATGGCTTCTGTGGTATCCCCATCACTGATACGGGCCGGATGGGGAGCCGCTTGGTGGGCATCATCTCCTCGAGGGACATTGATTTTCTCAAGGAGGAGGAGCACGACCGGTTTTTGGAAGAGGTAGGCGCACTGGCAAAGCCAAGCTTCAGCAACCAGGCTAGACAAGGAGCCTTCTGTTGCCTAAGTGGCATCTTTGATGATCTCTGCTGTCCAGGAAAGATGAATACCTAACCAAGTTTCTGATTTCTCACACACACACACCCCACCCCCACCCCCACCCCCGGTTCTCAGTCTACCCAAATGTTTTCCCACATGCACGCTGTGTTCTTTGCCACCCTAAGGGTGAAGGAAATGCTTAAGGACCAACTTCAGCCTCCCCTTTTAATTCATCACTGGTCTGGTGTGGCCCTTTTTTATTCTAATGATTTATCAGCCTACTCCTTGTATTGTTACATTGTCCTTTCTATTCAGTTCTCATGCTTGCTACTACATTGCTGCAGACCACCAGGTTCACTCAAGGAGGGCGGTTTGGGTGCAGGTGTGTGAACAAGGTGGTCTTTGAAACCTCACCCCTGAGTTAAGGGCCGGTCCTGTTGGGGATCTGGTCCCTGATTGGCCCTTCCTCACAGCTCCCCTCCCCCTTAGATTATGACGAAGAGAGATGACTTGGTGGTGGCTCCCGCAGGCATCACATTAAAGGAAGCAAATGAAATTCTGCAGCGCAGCAAAAAGGGTGAGTCTTTGAGATGGGAAGGGTTCTGTAACCAAAGACCAGGACACTGATTCATGTCCTGTTCTGCTCTCAGGAAAGTTGCCCATTGTAAATGAAGAGGATGAGCTGGTGGCCATCATTGCCCGAACAGATCTGAAGAAGAACCGGGATTACCCCCTGGCCTCCAAAGATGCCAAGAAGCAGCTGCTGTGTGGAGCAGCCATCGGCACTCATGAAGATGACAAGTATCGGCTGGACTTGCTAGCCCAGGCTGGTGTGGATGTAGTCGTTTTGGTGAGCTGCTGTATAAGCAGGGCAGGGCAGTTAGGGAAGTTCCAGTGAAATATTCCAATCTCACTGGGACTTCCTCCTGTTGCAGGACTCTTCCCAGGGAAACTCCATCTTCCAGATTAACATGATCAAGTACATCAAAGATAAATACCCCAGCCTCCAAGTCATTGGAGGCAATGGTGAGGCCAGACTGGGCACTGAGGATGTGGGTAAGACGAGGGAAGCTGAGCTCCCACCTAGAATTTTGCCTGAGCCTTTTTCCTGTTCTTCATTGCAGTGGTCACAGCTGCTCAGGCCAAGAATCTCATTGATGCTGGCGTAGATGCCCTGCGGGTGGGCATGGGCAGTGGCTCCATCTGCATCACCCAGGAAGGTAAGATGCTTTGGCAGGGCCCTTAGCTCCACATGCCCTGGAGCCAAGTGCTCTCTCGGGAACTAGTGAGTCCTCCAAGAGGGGCAGCCCCAGGGCCACACAGGCCCCTTGGATGGGTGACATGCTGGAAGCAAGACGAGCTCTCGTCATTCCTCACTTGCCACTCCTCCCTGCCTAGCCTGGCCTCTTTGCTCCTGCTCTGCACCCTCTCTAAACTCTGGTCTGTTTGTTTTATTTAGCAGCTCCCAAGATCCCTCCAGACATAAAGTCCCACAGCCCCAAATGCCCTTCTACTGTCACGGGCTGCTATAGTAAGTCCGGCCCGGCCCACTGGCCCGGCCCAGCTGCCCACTGCCCGGCTGCTTGGTTGACTGTAGCTGTAGCTCCCGGGGTTTGTGGTGCCGATGGGTGGGCAGGGCAGACTGAATGACAGACCATGGTTTTGGGGGGCTGCTCCAGAGCGCAGCTCCCTCCTCTTACTGGGGTGCTTACAGGGCAGGACCCCCTTCCCCATGTGGACCCTGCTCCACCCACATTTCCAGCAGTAGGGTACAGCTCAGGGACCAACTCTGGAGCACACACTTCCTTCCACATGATCACTTCCCTGATCTTGCCTGAGCTGCCCACCACATAGGGAGCAAGGGGTGGGCCTCTGGGTACTAACTGCACAGTAACCCTACCCCACCTGATACCAGTTGGGTGGGGCTTTCCCGGCTGCTGACTGCACGTGCCTGAGGCTGCCCTGGGCCATGCACACATGCACGCGTACATGCAGGGTTGAGTGGTGGCCATCACAGCTGTTTGTACTGTTCAAGGCAGATGGGGCAGCCATCCGACTTGTCCTCAGCCAGGCTGCAGTCCTGGTTCAGGTGTAGCTCACAGTTCCTGGGTGCAGAGTTGTGACCACAGAGCTCCTTGCCTGTCCCCACCAATTCCACCCACCCATCTGTTCATCTTTTAACAGTGCTGGCCTGTGGGCGGCCCCAAGCAACAGCAGTGTACAAGGTATCAGAATATGCGCGGCGCTTTGGTGTTCCCGTCATCGCTGATGGAGGAATCCAAAATGTGGGCCATATTGCCAAAGCCTTGGCCCTTGGGGCATCCACAGGTGAGGCCCAGCGCCTAGAGAACCGGGTGGGACTCCTTTCCCATTGTCATTCAGGGTCTGCCCCTAACACTCCATCTGTCCACAGTCATGATGGGCTCCCTCCTGGCTGCCACCACTGAGGCCCCTGGCGAGTACTTCTTCTCTGATGGGATCCGGCTAAAGAAATACCGTGGTATGGGCTCTCTCGATGCCATGGACAAGCATCTCAGCAGCCAGAACCGATATTTCAGGTGGGACGGGAAAATGAACTAACTTATACCAACCCGTCACTGATGGTCTTATTTGTGCTTTGACCTTGTCCATGTCTCTTGCCTCTCTCTGCAGTGAAGCTGACAAAATCAAGGTGGCCCAGGGGGTATCTGGGGCTGTGCAGGACAAAGGGTCCATCCATAAATTTGTCCCCTACTTGATTGCTGGCATCCAACACTCCTGCCAAGACATTGGTGCCAAGAGTTTGACTCAAGTCAGGTAAGCCTGGAGAGCCTGGACGTAGGGAGAGGCTGATCCAAGGCCAGCTGCCCACACCTGACATCTGCCCCTTTTCAGAGCCATGATGTATTCTGGGGAGCTTAAGTTTGAGAAGAGAACATCCTCAGCTCAGGTGGAAGGTGGTGTCCACAGCCTCCATTCGTAAGTCACCAACCCTTTCCTACCCATCCCTGAGGTGGTGGTCTCCATTCTTTTCTGCTGCCCTCACCTCACAGCTGGTCCCTCTGCCTACAGGTATGAGAAGCGACTTTTCTGAAAAGGGATACAGCGTAACCCCATGGTTTTTCAATAAAAGTTTGAGAAAAAGTGATGCCTGATCTTTGAAGTCAACAGGCAGGTGGGGCTCAGCAGCTGCCACGTCACAGATGCACACAAACACAACACCCTTATTTCCGGGAAAGCCTCAGGACCTGAGGCCAGGGTGTTCCATGGACCTGGAAGGGGTAGTAACTCTAGATTCAGAGTGCTCCTGAAGCAGCTCACAAGCCAGCCCTGACCAGCTGGCGCTCCCAAGGGTCAAGCGTTCAATCTTAGATTCTGTAAGCCGACCATGGCTTCGTAAGGGTCAGGTAACAGTCCATGGAACTTCAGACTGACATCCACAGGGCCTCCTGCTAGCCCAAAACTTGGCCACATGGGACCAGACTGAGACCCCCACACATGTTCTCTAACTGGAATTTCAAAAGAACCTCCTGGAGAAGGAATTGAGGTGCCTCTGCACATGAGCAAGTAGACGGACCTACGGCCTTGAATGGTTGTATATACCAGCTCCCGGCCTCTCACGGGCCATGCAGTCTAGATGAAAAGGTGACCCCTTGGTTTCTTCACAACCCCCATCAAGGCCCCACTGAGCCAGCAGCCCCTGGCCAGCAATGCACCTACTACAAAATGGAAGAAGTGGGTTAAATTATTAATTTGCTGGCAAGCAGGACAAGCATTACAGTGCCACAGGGGAGACTGAGAGGGTTGGGAACCCCTGCACTCTGCATAAGGCGCCAGGGCCCTACTGGAAAGATCGGGTGAGTTCCTGGCTCTTCACTCTACAGTTTGGGACAGAGGTGTGAGCGCGGCCCCTCCAGGTGGGGGGATGAGAGCAGCTCCAGTCACTCGGCCTTCGTGACACAGGAAGTTGAAAGTGGCACAAGCATTGGGCTGCAAAGACAAGGCCAGCATCAGCTGAGCTAGGGCTAGGCCGCGGCTCCCCTCAGCGCTCCCAAGCCCCGCTACTGACCGTGTCCTGCACTTCCACAGCGATGCCCCGCTGCCTCATGGCTCGCAGCACCTGGGGCTGCAGCCGCTCAGTCCGGTCTCCGGTGCCCACCACAACGATCTCTAGGGAAGGATGGGGGCAGAGCTCGTCCACAACCAGGTCTGCTGACAGGCTGGGGTGGGGTCGGGTGGCTTTTGGGGTCTCAGAGGGCCTCAGCCCTTCCCTCTAGTACCTATTCGGGGCTCCAGCATCCAAAAGAGAGAGAAGCTTTCTTCCGTGATGTCCTGGTGGGATCCTACCTGTGTGGGGAGGAGACAGGTTAAAGTCAACAAACCCACCCAGCTTTCCCCAAAGGCCTGCGCCGCAGCGGGACCGCGGAGGAGCCGAGGGTGAGCCGCAGCTCCGGCCCTCGCTTCCTCCCCGCAGGGGCGGGCTCACGTTCCACTGCAGCACGGAGCGCGGAAGCAGCGCGCAGGGCCCAAACACGCGATTTCCATTGACCATGAAGCCGCGGCTGCTGTAGCTGTCGATGTACATGGCGTGCGGGGCCTCGCGTTGCAGCAGAGAGATGCGTGTCCGCTGATACAGCTCATCGTCGGCCGGCGTGAGGCGGTGCCCACGCCGTGGCGCCCTGCGGAGGGGCTCGGTCAGGGTCTGAGGGACCAGAGATGAGCCGCAGCGGGCGAGAGGCGGACAGGGACGCCGGAACTGGACTCACCACAGCAGCTCCGCGGGCGGGCGGCGCAGTTCGGGTCGCGCTCGGTACAGGCGTCGAAGCACGAACGCGGCGGCCATGGCGAACCGGTTCCCAGGGTCAGTGGGGTCGCAAGGAGCCCCGCCCAGTGCTGATACAGCGCCCCCTGAGGCCCGGAGGGCACAGCGCAGCTCGGCCGGCCCAGCGCGGGAATGCTAGGGAGCTGGCCAGTGCCACCTGTCCCAGGGAGGCCGCATCCCCCTGCGCGGCTCCGGTGTCTGCACCTGCGGCCCGCCCCTGCCCGGGCCCCCGCAGATGGTCCTGAGGGAGCCAAACACCTGGTGGCGGGGCTGGCCTCAGGACACTGCCTGGGTCCCAGCCACGGCCTGGTCCCCGGCTCTGAGCCATCACGAAGGTCTCCTGGGCCTGGGGCGGGGCGGGGCGCACCTGGCCGAGTCCCGCACACCTGGCTAGGGCCTGGTGCCGACTTCTAAGCCCCTAACCCCGGTTTTGGGGCGTCAGGTTGCGAGGGCGGGTCAGGCGGCTCAGGTTTCCCCGCTCTCCCAGGTATCACGCCCCTTCCCAACCGTCATCCGCGCGACCGTTGGCGTCGCCGCCGCGCGTCCTGAGGGGCGTGGCTGCGCGTGGATTGGCTTCTCGGGAGCGCGAGGGGGCGTGGTCGGGTGGTTTCTCCTTAAAATGGCTCCAGTCTGCGGCCAGAGCTAGCGGAAGGGGACGCCGTGGTAGGGTACTTGTGGGTGTTTGGGTGGCAGTTACTAGACGGAACCGGACCAGATCTTCAACTAGACGGCGGCTGGAGCAGCACTCAGTCTTCACTCGCTCTGCTCGCGTCCCGAGAATACTCCCGCTCCCGACTTGAGCCGAAGCAGAGGGCCTACTGGCACGAGAGTCGCTGGCCCCCGCGCGGGGTTTGGGCATCTTCGCGCACCCGACTGTGTCGTGGCTTCAGGGGAATGTTGCCGCGTCTGCTGTCCGCGGGGCTGGGCGGGTGGGAGGCAGACTCGGTTCATACGGGGGCGGTCTCAGTGTATTTCTGGGGACTTCCCGCCGCCGCGCGAGCCCATTGGGGCCCCTAGACCTCCGAGCGCTGGTGGTCACCGGACAAAGGGCTCCGGGTGCGGGGGTGTCCCAGAGGCGGGCGCGCGGGTTTACTTCCTCCTCGGCCCCACGGGAGCGCTTCCTTCTTGGCGGATCCCGAAGCCCGCCCCGACACTGTCACCTCACCAGTGGCTCTGGCTGCATGAGATCAACAGGACTAATCCTACCCCGCGGATGTAATTCGGAACGGGAATCGGTCCCAGGGGAGGCCCCCACCTCCCCACCTATTGTTTTGGGGCCCAGGTGAGCTCCTCATTCCCACAAGACTCGATTTTACCGTCTACTCCTAGGTCCGCCTCCTGGGACTGGAAATGAAGGGGTTCTGCTCTCGCTCCCGGGCAAGGGAACCCCCCCACACACACACCTCCCCACGGCTGGACAGCGGGCAACGGAATCCCAAAAGCAGCTGTTGTCTCCAGAGCATTCCAGCTGCGCTTGGATTTCGTTCCCTGCTCTCCTGCCTGAGCAGCGTTCTGGCCCAGAAGGGGTGGGCAAGCCCCTGACCCCAGACGTGTTTCCCTGGGTCGTCTGGTCTCCGTCCCTCAGGTGCGCCCTCAGGCTGGAAGTGACGGGGTCGTAGACTTCGGAAAGTCTGGGCGGTGGCCATCTCTGGACCCCGGGGTAGCACTGGTGAGGGAGAGAGGGCAGACCCAGGGCCACCAGACAGGGCTGCAATGGCGGTGAGTCCCACAGGGCCGCCCCAGCCCGCAGCTCGCTAAAGATAGCCCTTCACTTCCTGGGGAAAAACCACCCCAACTGTCTTCTTGTACCGAGAGTAGCTGAAATCCCCAGCTGGGTCTCCAGCCAACCCTGATAACAGCTGTCCTGTAGGCGCACGCCTGCGGCATGGAAAGTTCCTTGGAATGATAGGACCACTCCCGTTGAGTAGGCACCCCAGAAGCTATCGGGAATGTCGCTTCTGCCTTCAGTGCTCTTTAGGCGCCTCCCGGGAGGTCCTTGAAGGCCTAGCAGAGAGAGGGACCTTGCCAAACTTCTTATGCCCCTAGGATTCCCTCTTGAGTTATGGGCACTCGTACGGCTCCAGAGCAGAAATCAGTTTTCCCAGCGCTCTGTGCTGCGTCAGTTTCAATTTCATTAAAGAGGAAAAGGGGATTTAAGTAAATTTTAGTGAAAACATTCGGGTGCCAGCGTGGGATAAGAAAGAGCTTTCTGTCTGGCAGAGGAGCAGGGTGCTCCTGAGCCTGCCAGGAAGCGGGAGGAAGGGTCCCTGTTAAAGTACACCAGGTTAAAGGAGAACGCTTTCAAACCCGGCAATTTTGGAAGCCATCATAAAAGTTCTAATTCCTCAAGAATCAGGAGAAAACCTGTAATTCTATCAGCAGAAATTTATCGGGAATGAAAGACCCATATCTCAAAGGAGAAAATGCGTGCAGAAAACCTGAAACCGCAAAACAAATTACTTGTAAATGAGATTTTTTTAAAAACGTTGTGAGGGTGGCATTGACGTAAGCTGCCCTATTCCAGTGATAATTCATTTAGGACTTTTAGCGTTTTGTTCATGCGTAAAATAAGGGAAATGAAACATTAACACAAATACAGAGATGTAAGACTTCGATGAGGAAAGAGACCCCGCCAGGTCGCGAGGATCCTTTTCCTGGTTGCTAACGCAGGTGACAGCGAAAGAACCCTAAGCCCAGGAGAGTCCCGAGGTTTCGGACCCGGACCAAGCCGGGCAGGTGGGCCACGGTGGGGCCGTCGTCGAAAAGCGGCAGCCACTGTTTCCCCTCTGGTGCACCTGCCCACTCGGGAGCGGATTCCCCGCCCAGTTAGTTGCTGTTCCCGGAAGTCCAGCCTACCAACATTTTGCTTCCGGTTCCGGTCGCTATGGCGACTGGGCGCCTTCGGGTGGAGGAAACCCTGGGGGCCCTAAATGCGGCCCTGGGAGCTGGCGGTCCCGTGTGGTTCAAAGAGACGCGCGCCCGCCACCTGCGTGCCCGAGACTTCCTGGCGCCGCGGCGAGCACTACAGGCGCGCTTCGAGGACGGACAGGTGGGAGCTGGTCGGGAGGGGACGTGCGGTCTGGAGTAGCTGGGAGCGCCGCGGCCCGCTCACCGGCCTGCTTCCCTGCAGGTGCCGGAGCCTGTGGTCCATGCTGTGGTCGGCCTGCAGGGCCCCGGTGTGGCCCCGGTGTTGCGTTGCGAGCCAACACCCGCGGGTCTGGCGCTTCAACTGGAGCGGTCTGCTGTCTTCGAGCGCGTGCTCGGCGCCGTGGCTGCCTATGCCGCGCCCGCCGCGCTCCCTGCGCAGGGTCAGCGCGTCCTCCTGCACTGCCCATCGCTGCGTGCTGCCCCCTGCGCGCTCCGCCTGTGCCAGCTGCGCGCTGTGCTCGTGGCGGATCACCTTGCTCGAGCTTTGCAGGTTCACGGGTGAGCGGGCGCATGGAGCTAGAGAGGAGAAACCGCGGCCCTTGGGGACTGGCCGCTGCGGGTGGGAGTTGTGTGGGGGCGGGGGGCGCCGTACCGGGCGCTCAGGTTGAAACAGTTGCCCTCGCTGTTTGCAGGGTGAGTGTGAGCCTAGTGCCCGCCGTACGGGACCCGCATATGTCGACTTTCCTGCAGCAACTGCGGGTGGACTGGCCCTCTGCCTCGGAGCAAGCCTCAACGGAAGCCCTGTTGAGCCGCGCACTAGCAGAGTTTACCTCTGCTGGTGACAGGGGAGCCCTACCCCCGGACGTCCTTGGCAGTGTGCGTCTGAAGGAGCTGGTGGAAGGACGGGGACGCACAGCTGGCTATGACCCCAACCTGGACAACTGTCTGGGTAGGACCTGGAGCCTAGCAGGGCCAAAAAGAAGACGGGGACTCCTGTAGTCCCGGCTAGCCCCAGTGCCTGTGTTCCCAATGCAGTGACTGAGGACCTGCTCTCCGTGCTGGCTGAGCTGCAGGCAGCTGTGCGGCAATGGCCTGAGGATGGCTCCCTAGGCCTGGTTAGTGACTGACTTCCCACCCCCTAGGTCTCTGGCAAACTGGGCTGTCCTGTGTCCCCCCAGTGACTGTCCTCCTCCTTTGCAGGCTGCAGCCCCAGATGCTGGTACGGACAGCTGCGTGGTGATACACGTGGTAAGCTATGAGGAAGAGTTCCAGCAACAGAAGTTGGACCTTCTTTGGTGGAAGTTGGATGACCACGCCCCTCTCAGACAGGTAGGTTTGTGATGGAGCGCCCCCTACCGACCTCCGAGGGCCCCTGAAACCCATCAAGGCGCCTGCAAGCTGACTGGTTCAGGAGGGAGCGCTTGACCTTGAGACATCAGGCTTGGTGAGTGGGAATGAGCGGCAGGCGCCGAGTCCTGGGAGCAGGTGGGGCCTGGAGGCACACCCTGGAGGACACTGGAGGGCCAGCGTCCCAAGGGGCTAGGCTTGAGAGGCAGGCACTGAGCCTGGTGGCAAAAGGCCAAGGGAGTCTGGGCACCAGATTTCAGTTTCCTGAGGGTTTTACTGCTGGAGGGTGTCGCCAGCTGGCTGAGCCCCTGCTATCCTTCTGACAGAAGCACCTGGTGTGTGGCCCCGTGAAAGTAGCTGGTGTGCCTGGCACCCTGACTGCCCCCGAGTACTACGAGTGAGTGAGGCTGGAAGGAAAGCCACCGAGCCACGGTAGTTGAGGTGGGGACTTCGCCCACTGACCCTCCTCTTTTTTTCAAAATGCAGGCTCCGGCATGCCCAGGTGCGCAAGGCTTCAGCACTGAAGCACAGCAGGGACCTGGCACAAGGTGGGCCGGGGAGGCTGTCTGTGGCGTGGGCAGCGGCAACAGCAGATCATTTGCACCCCTGCCCCTGGTCCCTTGCCCACAGAGACTGACCGGCCTATACTCCCTCAGACCCAGCCTGGACAGAAACCTTCAGGGTTCTCTCTGTGGCGACCATCAAGTTTGAGATGCTCAGCAAGGCCCCGCAGAGTCAGGTGAGCCGGGGCACCCCACAAGGCCAGGGCCGGGGGGCGGGCTGTGTTGGCTGCCCGCCGTCTCTGCAGCTGTGCCGCCCTTCAGCTTCTCGTGGTCCTGGCCGACGGCATTTCCACCAAGGGGACCAAGAGTGGCACCTTTGTCATGTATAATTGTGCCCGTCTCGCCACACTCTTTGAGGGTTACGAGCGCGGCATGGAACAAGGTCTGTACCCTGCTTTTCCACCTGTGAGCAGCCTGGATTTCTCTCTGCTTCGTGAAGAGGTGAGCGCCCCTCTTGGTAGCTGACACCCGTGGGAGCTCGGCCTTGCCCTCTCAGCAGCCTTCTTCCCACAGGGTGAGTGGCTGCTGCTATTCAACAGCGTCCTCCCCTTCCCAGACCTACTGGGCCAGACCGCAGCCCTGGACCACATAGCCCCAGGGCTCCACATCACTGCACGCACAGAGATGGTGAGGCAGAAAAGACCAGGCAGACACTGCACACTGTTTATTCTGATCTGGGGTACAAGGGCAAAGAGACAGGCCAGTGACTCAGTCTGTTTCTAGGTGTGCAAGTTTCTGGTGCAGCTGAGCATGGATTTCAGCTCATACTACAATCGGGTACACATCCTAACGGTAAGCACACAGCAACAGGGGTGGGTGGGCGGTGCAGGGGAAGGACGCCAAGGGTGAGACCAGCAGGCCTCTTCTTTCCCCCAGGAGCCTCGACCACACCTGTTCGGTCAAATGTTTGCCCGCCTGCAACTTCTACGGGCCGTGCGTGAAGTGCTCCACACTGGCCTGGCCACGCTGGGTCTCCCTCCACTGAGCTACATCTAAGGCCACAGAGGTTCCAGCACGTGGGAATGTTCACAAAGTCATCAACTGTTTAAAAAACAAACCAACCAACCAACCCCACAGATTTTTGTTAAAGAGACTTGGAGCCAAAATAAATTGTCACAGAGCTTTGCTGTTGTGAGGATGGCTGTATCCTTGGCCTGCCCAGGCAGCACTTTCTTTACTCACCTCCAGCGCCTGCTCTGAAGTCAGGAACCCGCGGCTGCCACCTTCTCCCCTCGAGGCATGCTGGGCACAGGCAGTCGCTCCTGCCCCACTCTGCCTGGGAGCAGGCCCCAGCCCAGCATGCCGGCCACCGCGGGACGCCTCAGTCATACCAGTTGTAAACCTCAAGTCCCTGGCCCCCAAGAGCACAGCGGTGACCAAACTCAGGGCTCACAGGCCAGCAGTCCATGTCAGCCACGTCTGGTACGTGGTACACTGTGCTGTTAATGAAGGTGGGCTCACCGTGCCCTAGACGCCAAAAGGTCAGCCGTTGATCAATGGAGGCTGAGACCATGAGGCTTGGGCTTAGGATGTGGAGGCCTGTCACATGCGCAGCATGTGCACAAGGGACAGAGTGTTGCTCCAGTACACGCAGCTGGGGCACCAGCTCAGCACCCCCCCCAGCCTCCGCCAGCTCGGGCACCTCCACCGCAAGCACAAAGACATGGAGGGAACCGTCCTCACTGCCACTCGCCACGAGATGGCCCTCGCCTGTGGGCAAGGTGTGCAGGCTGTTGACACCACAGCTGTGAGCCTGGAGCGTCAGGCAGGGGTCACCCAGCCCTGGAGGAAGAAGATGGTTGTCAGGGCCCAGCGTGCCACTTGGGCGAGGGCAAAGTGGGAGGTGGTGAGGGACAGCCACACTAGCTACTCACGGCAGGGGAGCCCGGGGTCCGCTGGCGGTTCCAGGACAGCGGAGCCACGGTCCAGCACAGTGGTGAGATCCCAGAAGGCCAGGCTGCCATCAGTGGCTGCACTGCACAGAAAGAGTCTCCTGGGAGCCAGGGAAAGACAGCTGGGTCAGTCGGGGGATCGAAAGTAACAGGGCCCCCCCCCCACAGACCCACGTAGAGTCATCGTACGCCCCTCTCACCGCCGCTGGTCGGGTGCCTCGTGTGTGAAGGAGTGGACCTTGAGGACACACCGTTTGTGGTGGAAGGTTTCAGCTAGGAGCTGCAGCCGCCGCCCAGAGTCCTGCAATAGAAAGAGCCTGGGGGGCAGGGGGCGGCCCAGCTCAGAACCTATTCTGGACGCCCCATACCCTGCCTCCCGCCCCCCCACCAGTGTTCTTACCTCACTGCCCCATCACTACAGGCTGCAGCCACGAGGGGGCCGAGGCCAGGCGGGTCGAGCTCGCACACGGCTAGGCACATGTACCTACAGAGACGACGCGGCCGTCAAGCACAGCCCTGCATGCCGCCGCCCCAAGCCCCTGCCGGGCAGCGCACATCACCTGGTCTCTGGGTCCACCTTAACCATCCGGTGCCGATGACGCTGCCGGTCCCAGTACTCATCTAGCCGGTGAGACGAAAGGTGTGTAACGTGGCAGGCGAGGCGGCTTGGGGTGCTGGGGTCCAGGGCGACCACGATGTTGAAGCAGTGCATCTCAGCCCGGCCCCCCGCGGACACCACGTGGGCAGTCAGGCCTGACCGCAGATCCTGAGGGCCGCCAACGCCCCATACAGCCACCGCACGCACCGAGGAGATATGGTTACACACAGCAGTCAGCGCATGGGCTGAGCCCGTGGCGGTGGGGAGTGCCAGGACACAGATGGTCGTGTCTTCGCTGCAGGTGATCACAATGTCAATCAGGCCGGGCCCTTCGCTGTCGGGCTCCAGGTGGTCAGGCTGCATGAAGCTGGGCACTTCAGAGTCGGGCCCCAGGGTGATGGTGCCCACATGCTTTACACATGTGATCTCACGGCCATGCAGGCTCTCCCGGAGAATCACGTGTGGCCGGGTGCAGCCCCCCAGAGCCCGGTACAACATGACATCCCCATCCTTCAAGTAGGCAAAGGCCATGGCTGCCTCAGTATCAGAGAAGGCCCAGGAGCGGTGCCCTCCACCACAGTTGACGATATGCAGCTTCTCGTGTGACCGGGGGCTCCACACCACAAACTCGTTGGCATGGAAACCCAGGACGACCATGCTCCCGTCAGCCACGACGCGGAGCCCAGCCACCCAGTTCATGCCTCGGCAGGACTTCTGCCTTAGCACTGGCTTCAGCTGGTTGCCTTGCACAAGGAGCTGGTAGTAGGCACCATCACGCCCTGTGGTGTACACGAAACCACCATGACAGGTGACCGAGGTCACACCTTGCTTCCCATGGAGAGAAGGAAGGACGGACACAGGGCCACACTCAGCCAAGGCCGTCTCACCCTCCCCACCGCCACTATCCACTCCCAGGGCTCCAGGCCCAGCCCCGGCCTTGTCTCCAACCCCAGGATCCTTGAGCAGAGCTGGTCTGGAGGGGAACAGCAACACAGAGCCCCGCCGGTCTCCGCACACCAGGAAGTCACCTGGGGGCAGGAAGGTACTGCACGTGTGCCATCTCTGCTTGCTTGGAGGTAGCAGGTACCGGCAACGCTCCTTGACAAAGATGGCCTTGCCAGAGGGTGCGGCTGTGATCTCCAGGCAAGCCACCACGCCGCCAGGGCCTGACGCCAGCAACAGGAGCTCTTCGTAGCCACGTAGGGCCCAGCTCACACTGTGTACCTTCCCTTGGAACAGGGTCAGGTCCACGGCTGCAGCCGGAGTGTTGATGGGAACGACCTTGACACGACCCTCCCCACTGGCCATGGCACACAGTCCGAAGCCCTCGGGGCCAGGGGCTGCCTCCAGAAGGCAGTAGGACTGGAAGCGCTTGTCCTCCAGTAGCTGCTCCCAGCACCTGACCTCGAGGTCACAGAGGTACAGGGCCCCTGCACCAGTCACCGCCAGGACTCGCCAGGAACCGGCCAGCGTCACAGCCTTGAGGGCGCCCGGCCTGCTGCAGGACTTGAAGCGGAGAGCGGAGACCCCCGAACCCGGGCGCCCGCGTCCTTCCAGGTGCCACAGCCGGATGCCTGAGTCATCGCCGCCAGTGACCACCCAGGCCTGCTTCTCATGGGCGGCTATGGCGCGGATCCCACGGCCCTGGTGGCCACGAAATGCCTGGAGGATCTCACCTTCGTGGCTCCATACCAAGCAGACACAGTCCTCTCCTGCGCTAATCAGGTAATTCTCTAGCAGCTTGACCTGCCACACACGGGCACTGTGCCCAAAGCAGTGCCCAATATTCTGCACCCGACCCCCAGGCACCCGCAGGTCACCCACCTTCCAGATGCGAACACTTCGGTCTTCCGAAGCCGTGGCCAACAAGCCTTTGCTTTCCAGGTACGACATGCTGAAGATGACACCTACATGCCCACTGACCCGTCGGTCGGGGGCCACGGGCTTATTGTCTATTAAAGCAGCAGCTGGGTACCAGACCAGGAGCTGGTTCGAAACAGCACCTGCCACGATGGTCAGCTCCTTCCAGGTGTCTCCAATTAAGCAGGCTGAGGAGAGTGTGCACCTGTCTGTGCAGGGTACGTCCTGCAGGATGCACCCTATCACAGGGTCGTATAATACCACGGAGTTGTGGCCCAGGGCCAAGGCCATGTTCCCCTCGAGCCAACGTGCATCCCAGATCCAGTCAGACATGTTCCACAGGGCCGAGCGCCAGAGCTCCCGGAAGCGGCCCTGTCCCCAGCTAATTTTCACAATTCGGAGTCCCTTGCTCCCAAACACGGCTACCATGGCCTCCAAGTCAAGGTCTCCGTTGGGTTCTGGTCGCACCCGGAACCCATGGATAAGGTAGTGGCCAAGCAGGTTCTGCACTCGCTTCACCATCCGCAGATGCCCACCAAAATCCAAGCTGTACACCAGGACATCCGGCCCCTCACCTGGACAGAGGCAAAGAGCCACATCAGAACCCCTCATCTAACCCCGATGAGCCATGAAGGAGAGATGAGGGCAGGGGGAGTTCTCCACAAGCAGCCTAGGAATGTGTTAGGACAGACAATCCCGCAGGCCTGAACCTTGGAAAAGCCTTGGTCTCAGCTTCAGCTGGACTTCCAGTGCTGACGTTCTGATCCGACCATGAATTCCTCACACTCTCAGACTCCTCTTCACCTCACCTAACTATGCCTCAGATAGGAACCCTCTCAGCTTCAGCCCCCAAATCCTCAGCTTCATCTACCTGCACACGAATTCTTCCTGGTGCTCCCAACACCACTAAGGGGGCTTTCTCACTAAGACAATCTTTTCGCCTTGGGGCTACCGCAGAACCCCTCCCGGTTTCCAGAAGGCTCTTCCCTCTATCTCCGAAGATGTGAGCACGTTCAATATCAATGGGGAAAAATCGGAGGGGCCGCCCACGCTCTGGCAGCAGGGGCTCCTGCGGCCCTCGGCTGCCGCCCGGCTGCCCTGTAGGCACCTCCCACTCTACCAGCTCATCGTCAAGGGCTCTCAGTGCTCATCACAATAACCAGTACCACCCTCTGCCCACTCCCCAGACCCAAATCAGGAAACTCACGGCCTACCCTCTAACCTCCCACACTTTCTCTGTCTCCAAGTCCTGTGGACTTCACTTCATAAAGAGTATGCAAATCCCTGCCACAGCAACTCTGGCCCAGAACATCACTTCCTAACCTGACATGACCATAACAGCCCCTCATGCCATTGCTGGTCTGCAGTCTCCATCTACTGACATTCAGTTAACATCTATTGGGCATCAATTATAAAACAGACAATAATCTGTATGCTGGACTAGTGAATATGACAAGCACAAACCCTACTCTACGGATTACACAGGCACTAAACAACAGCACACCAGGAAATTATGTTGTTGTAATTTTGGTAAGTTCCAGGAAAGAACTATAAAGGTTGCTCTAAGAATATAAAGTGGGAAAGCCTACTCCAGCGGTTCTCAGTTGAGGGGTGGGGCGGTGCAATTTTCCCTCCAGGAGACATCTGGCAATGTTTGAAGACGTTTTTGGCAGTCATAACTGTGAGCTGTTACTGGCATCTAGGAGTGGAGGCCAGGGATGCTGCTCAGCACCCTACAAGGCACAGCCAGCCTCTCACACAAAGAATGATCTGATCCACACCATCAATAGTGCTGAGACTGAGAAACTGGTCTCGTTTACTGAGACGGAGAAACAACACTGGGTGAGTGTTGGGGGAGGCCCCCTCTTAGTTTAGGCTGAGGAATCAAAGATGAGCAGTGGTTAGCCAAAGGAAAAGTTGGGGGGGGGGGGCGGGGGGGGCCTTTCGTGGCAGAGAAAAGTTTGATGACCCTGAAGCAAGCACGATCTTTGGGTAGTGTGGTTGAAATAAAAAAAATGAAGGGCTGACAGATGGGCTAGAGAGAATGCCGCTGAGGGGATCAGGGAGACACACAGTTGCATGGTTTCAAATGATGGCAATAAAGGTGCAGATGCCACACGTATGAAGTCCCAATCAACCAGACTGAAGTCACAGAAACAAAGTAAATTCACTTGAAGAGCTTTCTAGCCTGTTTCCCAAGTCATTTCCCTGCTTGAAACACTTCAATGGGTCCTCCCCACAGCCCTTTAGAGATAAAATCAGATCTAGACCTAAAACTGACCGGCTTCTGCTCGTTTCTCCAGCCTCTTCCTCCATACCCCACCGCTGCTTCAAAAGCACAGGAATTCCCTGTCCCTCGAAGTGGCAAAGTCTCTCAGCCTGAAGGCCTCGGCATGTTTATCCTCTGGCAGAGACTCAACCGTACTCTTCCCCTAGTTCACTCCTGTGCTTCTTTGGGTTTCTGCCTAGCTCTCCCCTCCTCCAGGAGACTCAGGTTATCTCACGGTAGGAACCCCGGGCTCCCCAGGGCCTCCACACCAGAGCAAGACTGGGGCATCCCTCCCCATCCCACCCCTACTCTCTTGGGATTGGCAGCAGCTCACTCAAGACTCGACAGCCAGGGTCCCTTTTTAACCCCCTGCCTGGGAACGCATTTTAACCTCTGCAGCAGCAGTCACTCGTGGCTTCCAGGCAGACCTCACTGCTTCCCAGGGCTCTGCAATCCCTGGACCCAGGCCTTTGCCAGTTTGTGCTTTCCGACCCCGCTCCGGTGGCGGGGGCGGGGGGCGGGGGTATGGATACCGGATTTCCCGCATCCCAACCATCTCACGGGGGACTCAGCTTCCCCGAGAACTGGCCTACTCAGAAAGGTCTCATCCCCGGTTTTTCGAGACCCCACCCTCGTCAGAGGCCTCTCCATCCCCACCTTTCAGGAAAGAGCCTCACCTGCCCTCGAGGCCACACCCCCGCCTTCATGACCCCGCCCCCCTCCAAGAATACACCCCGGACCCGCCCACCTCCTGGAGGTGCCTCATCCCCCAACCTCCCCTCCCCATCTCCTCCGGAGAGGATAAACCCCCGCCCAACTCATCAAAAGGACGACACACCTCTCTCCTCCCCTTCCCCCGCCGCCTAAACGACTGCGCTTCCCCGCACCTTCCCGCAGGTCCACCCGCCCTGCCCACGTCTGCTGCAGTTTATGAGGGGCCTCAGTAGACACATCGTCTTTTTTGTTTTTTGTCTCCTGGGCCCCTCCGGCCAGGCCACATTCCCGCCACCTCCAGCGCTCCCGCCCACCTCCGGGCCGGCCTCCCTCCGCCGCCCGTCCGCCTCCTTTGGCTATCCCTTTGTTCTATGGCTCCGCCCAGACGGGCGCTCGGCTTCTCCGCTAGAGCGCGCCTCAAACTAAGCCTCACCCGCTAGGAGCCGTTCCCCCACGCACTCCAGACCCGTGACCGGGAGGAGTATGAGCTCCGAGGTTGCCCGCGGCCAAATGTAGTCCTCTGAAGCATCCATGCCGACCCTCGAGCAGCTGCAGCTGCCACGACCAAGAAAGGGTCTGAACTCTCGCGAGACGAGCTTTCTCCGCGCGCGGCGCTGCTGAAGTACAGCGGCCTTAGCAACAGGTCGTTGAGCCTAGGATCCCGCTGCAGATGTCCAATGAAGACCCTCCGCCCCACGCCATCCTGCTCACGATTGGCTGAGCCGCCCTCGCCCCTCCCCCTCACGTGATGCTCACCGAGGGCCCCTGGCTGCCTCCCGCTCCCCCTTCCTACACCACCTCCCACGATCCCGAGCTCCTCGGCCCGGCGGCTCAAAGCCTTGTGGTTTTATTTGACTGGGCGGTATGAGTCTGTATACAATAAATAACATTAATATTGGTGCTGTGCCCTAATCGCGGCTGGAGGCGGGGATGGGGCAAGACATCGGCCAGACCGTTGGCCTGGAGCTGGATAGGGGGGCTGAAGGGTCCCCAGTCTTAGGCGGCGGGCGACCTGCGGCTGGGGGCCGGGACCGACACTTCCCTCAGAGCTCCACGCGCGCGTCGCGGTAGGCCCGGTCCAGAGCCCACTCTGGCTGCGAGTCGGCGCCACCTTCGCGGGCCAGGCGTGCCATTTCCTGCTGGAACAGGGCCTGCCGCGCTCGGCTGGGGTCCACATTGATCCAGTTGTTAGCTATCCACTTAGTACCACGAGTTACCAGGCAGCCTCCGTGCAGCGAGTAGTCATCCACGTCGCCCACCCAACCTAGAAGAGGAGGATGGTGTGAGCAAGGGAGGGAATCAGAGGAAAACCAGGCTGGGCTCACCTAAGCTTGGCCTCATACAGCCCAAGGATACAGCAAGGGTAGGCCCAGATGTGCGTACCTTTGGCGGCAAACATCTGGCCCCAAGGCCTGCTTAGGGGCCCAGCATCCCTCACCATCTAATGCCTTGTCAACATCACTGGCCCTCTGAAACCAGCTTTCTTGTGGCCAAGGCTGTCCAGAGCCTTCCCAGCCTTGGGTGGTAAGGGGTGTGTCCTGGTTCCAGCCAGCTGGAAGGCTAGGGCATCAGGGGTCACTGGGATGGTAACCCAGGAGGCTGCACAGGTGCAGGCTGCCAGAGCCACTGAGGATGGTTTTGGGGAGGCACCCGGGGCAGAAAAACATTGGTAGGATGCCCAGAAACAGCCCACCGGGGTGGCAGTCGGGGCTGGAAAAAGGCGAGCTTCCCTCAGGAGGCACTCCTGGCCTAGCCAAAGACCCTCACCTTTCCCATCAGGTAGATAGTTGTACCAGAACACTGCTGTGCCCTGCTGGGGTTTGACACGAAGATTCCCCTTGTCACAATGCCTCCGAGTGTCGCGGAGGTCAACGTCATCCTGAATCAGACTCTGTGGGCAGCAGGGCAGTGAGGTTTTCAAGCTACCCCCACTGTATGGCCAGGAGCCAAGGCCAGGTAGAGGGAAATCAATTGGATGTGCCCAGGTCTTGGGACCTTGTCCCAGGTCTAGAGGGGAATTACCACATTTGCCCAAAGCCCTGCCGTCCCACCCAAGTGACAGCCTGGTTGGTTCTTACCATTTCATCGTAGGTTCTGTTGTCTGCTACAGGGAAGACGGTCTCTCCCCCACCGGTGACGTTGTTCAAATAAAACAGCACTGTCATGTAGCTGTAAGGCAGGGGGGCCACTGAGCATGTCCCCAGCTGTGGATGCTCCCAGGGACTTACCTGTAGGCACGGGAAGCTGCCCAGGTTCCCATGGGCCCGAGGGGCAGGCTGGGATCAGTGACGGCAAGGCAGGTCAGTACCAAGATTTCCCTAGCCAATTCTTTTCACAAACCAAGGGTCCTGGTGTGTGTCACAAAGTTTTTTGTGGCCAAGATCACAGCCTCACTTAAATTACAGGGCCCTGACCAAGGGGCCAGCTGGGTAGGCTAGCAGAGGCAGCGAGATCATGCAGAAAGACTGTGACTAGAATGGCTGAGCCGGAGCAGGCACAGGAAGGGGACAGACCTGCTCCCGTGCCTGGCAGAGAAGGGGTCACAGCTTTAAAGAGAGAAGCTGAGGCATCCAGCAGCGGAGGCAGGATCAACACCCAGGGAGTGGGCAGAAAGACCTGGGGTTCCAGCCTTGCCCTGCCCCTTGCCTCAGAGCCCTGGGGGCCAGTTACAGTGTCTGTGGGTACCTTGGTCTGGCCACTGAGACAGGAGGGCCACTTTTCCTGACTCTTGGTAAACAACCTGGGGGACGGAGGTACGAGTATCCTTGACCAGGAAGGTCCAGTGCTCTCCTGGCCCCAAGCCAAGGACACGCCCACTGGGCAGGGCTGGGCTTGTGGCATGAGTGTATCTGGTCCGGGAGTTGAAATCGGGCCCCAGGTGGGAGTTACTTGCCGGCAGGAGGTCTCGAAGGGTACAGACTCGTTGGCTACCAGCTTGGTATGCGAGCAGACGGTCTCTGGGTACACGGGCCCACTGTCCACATGGGCATGGTAGTGGCCTCCCTCTCCGTACCGCACAACCTGCATAGGCTCGCTGAGCTCCACGATCTCGGGTGACAGGCGGGTGAGGCGCAGGACCCTGGCGGGCAGCAGGCATTCAGGTGGTCAGCCTCATGCACGGCAGCGCCCTGAAGGAGCTGCCACAAGCTCTGCCCCCGCCCAGCGCCCCTGGAAACCCCCTAAGTCACACCAGGCTGGCCCTATAGGAGCAGGAAGAGGATACTCAGGATAAGTCTGTACCACTCGGTGCCAGAGACACCCACTGGGCGGTAAGGTTGAGATGTCTACTAAACTGGGAGGGGTCCACTGCCCCCAGGAGGAAAGTTATCTAAAACCCCTGGATGCTTAGGAGCAGGAGGTCCTGCAGACAGAGATAAGAGGTCATTTCTCTAATTAGCAGAAAACAAACATTCACTGTACTTCTAATCCCAAGTGTACACTGTTTGCCCACCTTTAGGGCTAATTTGCCTTTGTTAATTGCCTGTCTTTCGATGGGTCCCCATCCCAGCCTAACAAGTGGAACTGAATCCTGAGTTGGCTTACCCATTCCGTCCTCTCTGCCCCAGCCAAGGGCTTCTGTGGGGGCCCTGCACGGTCTTCCGACCCCGCACCAGGGAGGACAGCCTCAGCTGCTCACCTCTGGCGGATGGCACGCATGACGTGGTGGGCGCCTTCCCCCTGGTAGAGCCACGTGTGGTGGCTGTTCCGCACCAGCTCGCTGGACTCCGCCTTGTGTCTCCTCATGTACTTGTGGAAATCTCGAAGGTCCATGTCGGAGAACTCCTGCAGGCTCAGCACTCCTGCGGGGCACCCACCGTCAGTGCCACTGAGCCCGCACGGGGAGGCCGCAGCGGCAGGCTGCGCTTTCCTACCTACCTTGGGGGCCATGTGCTCTTGTCCCCCAACCTGGACTCTCGGGTCAGTGAACCTGCTTTCTGTCACAGGAAAACCTAGAGAAGTTCCTTTCTTCCGTTTGAGCCCTGATTTGGCCCCCCAAAAGGAAGAAGCCCACCCCCTATGAGACTGGCCAGAGCAGAATCCCCAGAGGGAGTCTGAACGATATGGCCGGTGTCCCAGGGCACAGACTGTCCTTGGCCCTCCAGCCTGGCTCTGCAGAGTGTGGCGGCCAAGCTCGGTTCTGTGGAGGGAGGGGGAAGAAAGACAGCAGCTGGCGCTGGCCTTTGTCCAGGGCCTTCCACACCGCAGGGTGTAAGCTAAGGCTGGGCCCCCAGGTTTCTTCACGACCTCAGGTTCCACCCTGGGACAGTCCTGCCTGCCGGTCACCAGCTGACCTTGGTACAAAAGCCAGACCTCTCTCCCAGTGAGACCCCCTGCCCCGTTCCTGCCCAACCCACAGAGCGGGGGCTCCACCCTCTTGGGCGCTCTCTTTGTTCCACATTATCCTGTTTGACCCAAAGGAGGCACTTTCCACCTGTGGCCCAGAATCCTCTGAGAATGGGTGACACTCGGGGCTATGAGCCTGTCACCAGCTCTGTACACAGGGGCAGAGGCAGCAGGGTGCCGCTCTAGCCGCAGGTCCTGGACAGCCTTCCCTCAGGGTTCACCGGCCACAGGGTCATTCTTCCACGTCCTGTTTGGCTGTTGTATCTTCTCTTAATCATGAACTTGGGCATGAGAGTGACAATTACACTTCAGAAACCTCCTGAAGGTTATTGCCAAAGTGTGTGCTTGTGGCAGGGGCACTTGCACGACAGCGCCCCTCCCCACGTCGGCCCCTGGCAGTCGGATGACCGCGGGCGGGCGAGAGGGCGGCGAGGGCGCCTGGGTGGGACTCGGGAGGCTGTCTTCTGGGGCAGACCCTGTGCCTGGCTGCAGAGATGCCGCTGCGGCAGGGTGAACGGTCACCTCAAGCTGGCCTCACTGTCCCTTCGCTCTGGCTCTCCCCGCTCTGCCCTCTGCCCGCCAGCAGCCGCGACTCCTGCACCTCAGGCTCTGACTAATGAGGCCTCCGCGAGCCGCCCTCTACTGTCACCAAGGGGAATGGGGGGTCTGGCTCCTGCCCACTTCCCAGGGGTGAGGGAAGGCAGGACCCTCACCCCCGTGCCTCTGGCTACTCCAGAAGCTGGGAACGGCGGCGGCCTGGCTGTGGGGCAGGGCCCCGGGACAGGACGGCAGCGAGGTGCGAGCTCACCATCACCGTCCGGGTCAGCCTTCGTGGCAGAGTACATCTCCTGAATGCTCTCTGGAGTCATCCACCGTCCACTTCCCAGGCGGTTCTGGGCCAGGACCTAAAGCACAAGGTGCCCCGCCACGGGGTGGCCCCAGTGTTGGAGGGACACCAGAACACAGACAGCAGCCAGTTATTGCTGTAGGGCTAAGGACTCGGGTGATAGGGCGTGGGCGAGGACATAGGGCAAGCCTAAGGTCCTTGAGCTGATGAAGTAGGTAGAGAGGTCCAGTGGCACCTGGGAAGGCCGGGAAGATAGTCAAGAGCCCTGAGGGCCACGGGCCCTCTGCATAGGCCAGGGACCCTGCAACCCACCAAGACCTCTCCCGGAAGCCAGGGCGAGGGGCACGCAGAGCGATGCAGACTCCTGGCCACCTCAGAGCTGCCACCCCATGCACCATACGTTCCGTGGGGCTCCCAGCCATGGCAGCCGGGAATCCAGCCCCTAGGTGGCACAACGCCCAGGAACTGTGGCAATGCATGCCATCATCCCCAGGGGGACTCTCCTGCTATCTCCTGGCGTTCCCAGGGCAACAAGGGACTCCCCAGGGAAGAAGGGGCCCCGGGGCGGGGCCTGCTGCTATGAGGAGGCATCTGATTTGGGGCCGGGGCTGAGTGGGACAAGCGATCTGGCCACCAGAAAGGCAATTCTCATCCCCCCGCCCCAACCCCTCCGCCCCATGCCGACTCCAGTCCCGACCTCACGGAGCTGCAGGCGGCCATCCCGGTTCTGGTCCAGCAGCCGGAAGAGGTCCAGTTGGCTGACCTGCATGGCGCCCATCGCCTCCTCGTACTCTTCAGTGGGCAGGATCTGGCTGCGCTGTAACCCCTTCATCTGCGCCAGGTGGATGATGAGCCGACACTCCTCATCGCTCAGGAAGCCAGGGACTTCTGCCAGAAGAGGGGGTGGGTGAGGCCAAGGGCTAAGCCAGGGACAGATGGACCCGGTCCCTTCCTCTCCACAGGGTTCCTGGTAGCCCCCTGGTGGTCACCAGGTCAGGAGAACGTCACACACCCCTTCCATCTGCTCTGGGCTGTGACACCAAGGTCAGGTTGTCCTCCAACGCTGGCCAGCGTCGGGACGTGGGGCTTCTCTCTTTGATGCCGAGAGCGCACGTTCCCCGGGGGAGCCCCGGAGGCCAGCTGAGCCAGGCCGGGCCTGGGCGAATGCACCTCGGCGTCGGGCCAAAGGCCGGAGGATGAACCTGCGGAGCAGAGGGTTGACCTCCACTTCTTGGTATATATTTAAAAAGTAGACGGATGGTGGCTGGTTTCTGCTTTCCTTTTTACTTTCGGCATTATTCAAATAAAAACAAACAAACAGCAAGACATTCAGCACTCTTGCCCTCCATTCGGCTGCACAAGTGGGCGCTGGTCACCTGACCAGGGCTGAGTTGCCCAGTGCTGGGAGGTCAGTGGGGGTCACTCAGGTTTTTGGCAGGTGCTCTAAGAAGATACCCCAGGTGTCCTTTGCTTGGGGAATAAATGTACACTGAATACCTGCTCCGTGCCTCTGAGTCCCCGAGTCAGGCTGGGCTTGGCCCCGGTGGCTGGACGCCCCATGCCAGCCCCACAGGCAGCTCGGTGGAGCTGGGACGCGGGGGCTTCGTGCCTGCACAGCCCCCATCTCAGCGGCCCGGGCACTGCCGGAACAGGAGCTTGGGCCCTGTTTCTCGGAGAGAGGACTTCTGAGCCCAGGGACAAGAAGCCCACAAAAGCAACAGACTGGAGGAAGGGCCACGCTGCCACCACCGCCACAGCCGCCACCCCCCGCCACCGGGAGTCCTCAGAAGCCCTGCAGAGCAGCCTGCTACTTCCCTGGGCTGCACTCCCGGCATGGAGTTCCGGTCTTTGCCAAGAGGAAGGAAGGGGAATGGCCCCTCGGCCAGGGCTGGAGTGGTTTTTAAAACAGTAACCACAGCAGGTCACACTTAAGCGGCAGGCCCTGTGCCCTGTCCTAAGCACGCGGCCATCAAGGCCTTAATCTGTATCCTTAACCCTGAAAAGCGAGGTGGTCGTCGCCCTTCCGAACCGCGAGGAACCCCAGGCACAGGGACAACGGCCTGACGAGGACCGAAGGGCCGCCCAGGCTGTCGCACTCCAGGATCCACGCGCAGGACCATGCTGGGCGTCCACGGGCAGGCGACTCAGATGCAAGGACACTGAGGACAAGACAAAGACTCCCACCCCAGCAAACCTGGGAGGCCGTGAGCCGTCCACTGAGAAGGCAGTGCTGCAGGACAAGGACTTAGAGCAAATTGCTAATGAACGGAGTCGCCTACTGAGAGCTTAAAAAATAAACCAGAAAAGCCAGAAAAAAAGAAAAGAAAGCACAGGCCCAGGTTTCCTCAGTTTATTAGATGCTGTAGTCTGCAGGCCCAAAGGGGATGCCACCAATTTCTACAGTCCCCTGCCGTGTGCTTATCACACACCAACGGCCCAGGCCAGCACGCGGGAGCCTGACCAGGCGGGTCCCAGCACCTGGGAGCTGGGTGTACATTGGCTCCTGGGGCGTGGGTACAGGCCTTTAAAGCCTTCAACCTCAGCCCATTACGGCAAAGCAGAGAAAGCAGGCGATGGCCGGAGGGCTGTGGCTTCTGGTGGCACTGGTGGCACTGTGGGGTGACAGCATGGCAGGGGCTCCCTGGGCCCTAGGCGGTACACATCCATCTCGAAGCCACCACTGTGCCATGACACTGGCTACACAGAGATGCAGTCACCCAACTTGCTGGACCGGGACACCGTGGCTGCGGCCGCCCAGCAGTCTGTCAGCGGGCTGTCCCGGTGGCCAGGGAGTGTGCCCGGATGCCCGCCTCTTCCTCTGCTCCCTCATTGCCCCGTGTGCCTGGACAGGTAGGGCGCCAGGGCCCCCACACCGGGGAGGGGACTCTCCTCAGCCAGGGCCTGTGCTGGCAGCTCTTCACTAACCAGTGCTGCACGCCCGTCAGTGCCGGGTGCTGACCGGGGCAGGAAGACGAAGGATTTTTTGGTCAGGGTGCTCCTGGCGGAGGGGAGCAGGTATCCAGGCGAACACCCATGGTGAGCAGCCTTGGCCTGGATCCACGAATCATCAGGGGCCCTTAAGTGTCAAGGTCGGACAAGAGGGCAGGCTGCTTCAGGCAGGGGGCTCAGAGCCCCTCTCCAGGGGATGTGGAAACTCTGCTTGCCTGGGGTCCCCGGCAAGAGACGGGGCCACGGATCCTTGGGTGGCCTTTTCTCCCAGGGATGGCCAGGCTGACTGCTCTCCCCCAGCCTAACCTAGCCAGTGAATAGCAGTTTCCTTAGTCCCTTTTTGCAGAGCGAGGGCCCTTCCCAGAGCCTCCAAGTGACCATGCCAGGAGCGAAGACACTGGACGGGCTCTTCCAGAACCTCAGCACTGGGGCCCTGCGCCACCCCCAGCCTTGGCCAGAAACCGCAGTGCCCTGCAGGCCTTTCTGGCAGAGAGGGAGGGAGGGCGGGCCCTACACTCTTCGCCCACAATCAGGACTGGGGGCCCGGGATGCAGGACCCTTTCCACGGCCCCTCCCGGGCACTAGCCCTCCACAGGAGCTGGAGGAGGAAGGGCGCTGGCAAGGGGAAAGCAGCCGGGGCCACGGGAGGAGTGGTGGGGGACAGAAGACAGAAGCGCTGGCTGGGAGGGATGCAGGGCTGTTGCCAGGCGACCAGGTGTCGTTGCCCAGCAACCACCGAGTGCCAAGCCTCAGCCCGGCGCCCCGCCCCGCCCCCTCCCCACAGGGTCATCTACCAGTGCGGCAGCCTGTGTGAGGTCCGCGGGCCAGCTGCGCACCCACCACGGCCTGCAATGGCTACCCCGGCCGGCCACCCTGCGCTGCGGATGCTTCCCCGCAGGCCGGGGCCTCTGCCGGGCGGCCATCTCCCACGGCTCCCGCCCGGCCGCCCTTGAGTCTCTGCATGGCTTCTAGGCTGCTCTTGGCCCCCCTCAACCCCACGCTTTCTAGTCACTCCCCGCGGGAATCAGGTAAACAGGTCTCTGGTGGAAAAGGGACTGCCCACAGCAGCCATCTGTCTCCAAAAGGGCAAAACAAAGAGGGGAGGGTGGGAGGGACCTGTGCTGAGGGTCCCACGGCCTACTCCCAGCGGCAGCCTGGTGGGAGCCTCCCTCCGTCTCTCCCTGCTGTGCCCCGCACCCGCTGTGGGGACTGCGAGTTATAGGAGACGCTCCTCCAAGGAGGCCCTGGAGCCCCCTGCACCCAGCAACTTCGGTGAGTCCCTAGCAACCAGCAGACCTTACACCCACCTTCACTCCAGCTCTGCCTCGGTGCTAACACAAATGAAAGAGGGGCTACCCCAAAGCTATCCCTGGTTAGAGCTAAAAAATAAATCTAATAAGCTTGGGACGTTGCTAAAACAAAAGAAATCTGCTAAGGAGGGTGGCATTTAGGAGGACAGCCCCTCCCTTCCCTAGGACCAGGATTCCTAGAGCAGCGCCTCAGACAACAGCGTTCACCAGGTGGAAGGGAAGGCGGGGCAGGGGCGGGGGCGGTGCTCTCAGAGGCTCTGCTCACGGCTCCGCCCCTCTGGCCCACTCAGCAGTGAAGGGTAGGCTCTCCCAGGGCAACAGGGCACCTTCTGGCCCCTCAGACTTTGACCTGGACCTCCAACTAGCCCACTGGTCTCTACGGAGCTGGCTCCAGCTCCCTGATGCTGGCTGCCACGTGTGTGCGCAATCGCCTGCGTGGAAGACATGCTGGGGTCTACGTGCTCAGTGGAGGGGTGCAGAGCCACCGGCTACTGGTAACCGTGGACCATGCCTGGAGCCGGGGCCACCGTCATCTGCAGCTGGCTGTGCACAGGTGGCACCGTCACCAGTGCACAGAATAGGGGCTAACACAGGCAGGGAGAGCCTGGGACTTCAAAGCCATGGCCTGTGTGGCGGCCAAACTGTGGCTGTGTGCTCCCCTGGACACAAAACGCTCTTTGTCTTACCCCCACGGATATTTGCAGGTCAGAGTCCAGAGAAGCCCCACGGCTCACCCACGAACTGCTCAAGCAGGGCGGAAGCCCACTTCCGCGGCCACAGCTGGGCCCCTTCCTGAGTTGGGAGTGCTCTGCCCAGACAAAGGGCAGGCCAGCTCCCTGTCAGCTGTGCGTGCTGGGCAGGCAAGACCACCTTTTTGTCCTTCTTCAGCCTCGGATGACAGCCTGGCTAATGCCCTGCTACTGCCCACAAGCTCCGGCGCCCCAAGCTGGGTCTGAGGGCAAACACAGCCTAGGGCTATGCTCATCCTGGGCCTGATGCTGGTGGTCAAGCCCCACAGACTCAGCTGTGCCTGCGAGACCTTGACTGATGTAGGTCTGCCAAGCGGCAGGCCTGCGGAACAGCAGGTGGGCGGCAGGAGGTGTCCGCGCAGAAAACTGCTTTCAGCTGCTCACAGACCTGAACTAATATGCACACTAAAATTCCGTCCCTGCTGCTGGGCCTCCCATGTTTAGCAAGAGCACGGGGGTCTTACGTTGCGGCCTAATTGTTCTCTTACGCTGCAAAAGAATAAATTGGGAACTCCTGTGATAAACTAGTGTTGGTTTTAAAATAGTTGTGTGTACCAGTGGCAACCGGCTCATTTATCTTAAGCAGTTGAGGAAAAACAGAGCAGAACGCTTGCTAGCCCACTGGAGCTGCCCTCTGCTGTTCTCGAAGAGGCTGCTGAGTCAGGAGGCACCTGCCCGGGGTGGTGGAGGAGGCTGCTCTGAGCAGGCAGGCAGGGCTGGACCGGCTGAGTGTCCAGGAGACGCCTCCGGCTGGCCAACAATTATCGGTAGACACGACTCTGGCTGCTGGACACACGGCCAGTGCAAGTCAGGCCTCCTATGCATGCAGCTCATATTTCAGGGCAGAGGCACAAATGACACCAATAAATACAGAAGACGGTTTTCAATGATGCTAAGTGCTGAGAGAAAACCGAGCAGGCTGATGCAATCTCTTACGTGCCTGCAAACCCCTTATGGCCAATATGAGGCCCAGAGAGGTCTCTGAGGAAGGAAGGGGTGAGCAGAGGCCTGGCGGAGCCTGCGGATGGAGGGACCAGCACACACAAAGGCCCCAAGGCAGCAATGAGCTTGGTATCCACGAATCAGCAGGGAGTCAATCAGGAGATGGTAGCAGGAGGTCTGAGAGGCGAGGGCCGGCCCTGGGCTACCGAATGAGGCTTAGAAGTGAAATGAGACATCTTGGAGACTTTGAAGGAAGGGAGTGATGAGGTCTGATCTGTTCAGCGACAGAATGAGTGTGGGGCGCGTCGAGGGAGAAGTGAGCCACGGAAGGGAAAGCAATGTCCCCAGAGAGATGACAATGACTCAGAGCTGCAGCGTCTCTCTTCTGAACTGAATTTGGAAGGTCCGAATCCTTGGAAAATGCCTACCATAGTCAAGCAGGTATTTGCCAGGAAATTGGGATGGGACATTTGATGGCCCAGGTGCCTCTTGTCAAATGTCTCTAGGAACAAGGGTGGGAAACAAGAAATGCTCCCCAAAGGGAGGCTGCGGGGGGTCCTCCCTGTGAATGGGTGGGGTTCCCTTCTATATAGACAGAGGTGCCCCAGGTTGGACCCAACCAGTCCCCGGACCCCGGCTTGTATCCTGAACACCCGCCCTTTGAGCCCTGGCATCTTGGGCCCCCGCGGCTGGCGGGTCACAGACTTGGAGCCAAGAGCAGCAGGACAGAGATGGCAGAGCCCACAGCAGGCCCACTCTCCTCTTGGGCCTCCCTGACTCTTTAGGGTGACAGTAGACAGATAGACAGGCAGGCACAGAAGACAGACAGACACTGCTCCTTCTTGGGGTCAAACTTCCTTCTGTGGATTCATCCACCACCACCGCACTCAGGAGCCGCCGCTCCCTGGACACCCCCGCCCCTGCGGTTTCCCTTACAACTGGCCATCTTGTAGTCTCTGATCTGGTCTTCGTTCGTTTCACCTCATTTCAGCCAGCAGCAAGTCCCGGGGCTTTCTGGGTAAAACCTGGGGCATCTTCCACCAAGAGACTCAAAGACAATGTAAGAGTCTGGAGGAAGGAGCAGCATGAGCAGAAGGCTCTTCCTGCAGCGGCCCCCTCTCCCAAGTGTGCCCTTCGGAAACAGACCCATCTGACGGCTCCCCCACAGCCCGCTCACCTTCTGTCTCACCTCTTCTGCTTGCTGTAACTTATTCTCGGTGACTTCGGGTCTAGGGTTCTCGTTCTCTGCCTTGCACGTTGGGGGTTAGGAAGTAAGGCCCTGCGGCTCCCCTAACCTCACCCACACCTGAACGGAGCACGGATGGGCCCCGGAAGGCTGAGGAGAAAAAGCACGACCCCTCGGGTGTGCCTGGTCACGGCAGGGCCGAGGGGACGGGGTGAGGGGAGGGCTGTTCACGTGGCCTGGATCACACATTCCCCACAGCCACCTGGCTCGATCCCATAGCTCCTGCAGGTCTTTGCTCAAATGCTTTTTGCAGGCAGGCCAACTCCAGCCATCCTACTGGGAGTTTCAACCCCGCTTGAAATTCTGCCTTACCTGTCTGTGATCCCTTATTATCATCTGATGCACCATGTACATTTATTTATTAGTTTATTTATTGTCTGTCTCCTCATGTGAATGTGAGCTTCAGGTGTTTTTGTTTGTTTCCTATTTTGTTCAATGCTGGGTTCCCAGTACCTAAAATAGTGCTTGGTACAGACTTTAACATCATGCAACAGTAATAATAATAACCAGCACCACCACCTTTTAGGGCCGGGCCCACAACAGGACCAAGGTCAATAGCTATTCACACGGGTCAAAGAGCATGCGAATGAGATCATTCGCACGGGTCTAGGCATAACCCCCAACGAGGGCCCTCCGCCCCAGGAGTACTGGCGTGTGCTCAGGTGCTCTGCCTGGGCCCCAGCCCCCTTCTTAAGTCTTCCGGCCTCTCCATCTCCAGTGGCCAGGAACAGCCCAGGTCTGCCGGTAAGGGGGCCACTGAGGCTGGGACCCGGTGCTGGGCTCGTCAAACCGATGCTGAGCAAGGTCATGGGTCAGGGGGCCCCCACCTTGTTGACCTGCAGGTCTTTGAAGGACTTCAGAGCTTCACAGTTAGCACACTGGCTTTAGAAGCAGGCTGCCTGGGTTCGAATCCTAGCTTCACCGCTGAACTAGTTGTATGAACCTGGCCAAGCCAACTGCAGCTTTCTGTGCCTCATGTTTCACCCACTAGCCTGAGAACGGGGTTTACACCCACCTCACAGACAGGCTGTAAAAATTAAATGAACCGATCACACCAAGCCTAGCACATAACAAGAGATCAGAAAATGGGCTAATAATATGCTGGTTCCGAATGAGGCCGCCTTGCAAGGATTTGCCCACTATGGCTGAAAGCACAGCTCCGTCCAAAGGAGAATTCAAGTGCTGGTAGCAAAGGCTGATGCCTCCGTGGGGCCGGTTTCAGGGCGCCAGTTTATCCACAGTTGGACAGCCTGTTTCTCATCTCTCACCCTTCCCCCATTCTAGAACGTGAGGGAATTAATGGTAACAAGGAGTGTCCTGAGACAGTTTCAAAGAAATGTGTAAACACTAGCCTCAGGGTCACATTGCCCAGCCCCGTGATGGAAGGATCAGCTGTAGAGAATAGGGGTCAGAGAGCGGAGTGTGGAAAGGTCACCCTGCAACCCTATTATGGAGGTGGGGGCGGGTACTTCACTCTGGAAAACCTCTAGCTGGAAAAAAAGGGGGGCTACCTGGAAGCAGCCATTTTCAAAACTAAAATCACGTGGTCAAAATGAGCCTCAAGACGGCCACCGCATAGCAGCCCCCTGACACGTCCCGGGAGCGCCCCGTGGACTTACCGAAGAGCAGCGGCTTGAGGCTGAGGGTTCGCATTAAGTGATCCCTGTTGGCGACCAGCTGGACCTTCTGCTCGTGCCCCACCTAAGGGAAAGGGTCACAGAGGGCAGCTTGGGCGCCAGGCCGCGCCATGCGAACGAAAAGGCGCCCTGATGGGGGGGGGGGGGGGGGAGAGTGGGGTGCGCGCGGGGCAGGCAGGGAGCGGCGCCCTGAGCCCAGAGCGCGGCGAGGCGGGGGGCCTCACCTTGATGCCCTCGAGCCGGGTGAGGGGAGCCAAGGTTGGCATGGGCTCAGGTTCCGGGGGGCGGCGCTGGGGCCCGGGGTCGCTGCTCTCGTCGCCGTTGCTGTAGTGCACGAAGAGCAGCAGCGCCAGCACGTTGCCCAGGTACAGGTGCACGAACACCATCAGCACGAGGAAGTAGGCACGCGAGCAGATGCCGCGGGGTTTGCACAGCGGCCGGACCGGCGCGTCCTCGCAGTCGCCCAGCCCGGCCGCTGTCTCGGCAGAGTCATGCTCAGGCGGTACCCACTGCGGCCTCACGGACTCAGGCCTCGGGCCCACCGCCGCCGCCATGGCGCCCAGGTCGCGCGCGCGCCCAGGGGAGGGGCCGCGGGGATGCCCGCGCCGCGCCGCGCCGCGCCGCACCGCGCCGTCGCCTGGACAACCGCTGCTGAGCCTGCGCGCGCCCGGGCAGTGGGAGCCCGTGCCTGGGGATGGAGCGCCAGCCTTTCCGGAGCCGTACGCGCTACGCCCAGTATGTCTGCGCGCTGTGGACCCAGGACCACATTGGAGTTTCTCTTCCTGAGCTGGGCTATCGCAGGGCGGGGATGCAAACCCTTCAAGGCAGAAGCCGACCCCCTCCTCCCCCAATGTAAATGCAAACAAGAGCAGCACCATTCAAGGAAACCCCAGTGGAAGTTTCTCCTTTTCCTGGTTAAGACGCACTTTCCTCCTCCCGGAAAAGTACGGTCTGTATTTTCTCGCTCCCGGGAGTGGGGTGGCAGCAAGGAAGCAGCAGTGCCAAAAAATGACTCAACACTGCGGTGGACTAGGGCACCGCGGAGATGACCGCGCATGTGATGGGGGAGGCCCCGTGGCTTTCGGCGCTGACACTCGCCAGTGTAGGAGGCCAAGAATGCTTGGAGGTTCGCTCCGTGGTCGGCCTGGAGCCCCCAGGGAGTCCTGTTGAAGTCGCGCCTTAGGGAGAAGCTGTCTGATGTGCGGGGTTGCATAGATGGTGGGACCCGGCCTGGGACTGTCAGAGGGCTTCCCGGGAGAGCCCTGGCACCGTGAAGGTCAGATTCCAAACAGTAACCCCCAGGAATGCCGCAGGTGCTCACAGAAACCCTCGGCTCCAAACTGACACATGGGAGGAGGGAGAAAGGGACTTTTCCATAATTGAGCGACCATGACCTCTGATGAAAACCAAATGCATATTGTTGTCAAACCTGGAGGTGGAAGGACACACCAGTGGCCCAGTGCCAAAGCCTGGGCATTTTCAAGCTCCTTGCTCTTCTAGGGCCTGGTTATCCTTAGGCAGTGATGCGCCTGCCCTAGGGAAACACCGTGGAGGAAGGTCGCCCTGGGGGTTTCTCCCTACCCTGTCAAGACCCCTTTCCCTTTCACTTCCTCCCAGAAAAGTGGAGCCTGCATTTTCTGGCTTCCTCAGAGGGACAGGCCAGGGGCTCCAAGGATCGGCCTGTCTTCTCTCGAAGGTTCTACACACGGTGGCGGCGCCACCAGTGCCCAAACAATGGGTGCATCTGCTCCTCCAGCTACGTCCAGGGACCATCTCGCCAGCCTCCTTAGAATAGTACAGAGAAACACCGTTCAGCAAAGGTGTTTCTGGATGTTTTTTGTGGGAGGGGCGCCGGTGGCAGTGGGAGCCGTGTGGCTCAGCCAAAGCCGGGATGCTGACCAAACATGAGTGGTCCAGCATCCCGCTCCGGATGGGGTGGGAACTGACAGCTCTTGTCAACCAGGCAAGCCTGGACTCCCCTCCCCGATGCAAGGGCAGGCGTAGCGAGGATCTGGCCCTTCTCCCTGAAGTGAATTCCCCAAGAAATGAAACAGCCGCAAAAGAAACGTTTCTGATTCAAATCAACGAAAACTCTATTACCAACTTCAGTGTTCAAATTTCCTGCAATCTTTGTTTAATCCACTCTAGTTGGGTCAGAAATCTCTGAATTAAGTTTATTTTTCATGAAGTCTCTCAAGTGCTGAGTACAATAGAAACATTTTTCCAAAGTCATATGAATCTCCTAAGTTCTTAAATATGAAATATCAACCAACAATTTTACCAAGGATGTCATGGTTTTCTGGTGTTCATGAAGGATGTTGAAACCATTTCCTCTTTAGCCTTTTATAACCAATGCTTATCCCTGACTGGCGTGGCTCAGTGGTTTGGGGATCCTCCCACAAACCGAAAGGCTGCCGGTTCGATTCCCGGCCAGGGCACGTGCCTGGGGTTGCAGACCAGATCCCCAGTCAGGGGCATGCGAGAGGCAACCTATCAATGTTACTAGCAGTTGTTTGTGACATCGGTTAAACACTTCCCACTTTGAACAGCTATGTAATGTGGGCTGTCAGTTCAGCTAGTGTGACCGATTGTCTTGTGGGCACAGAAATTGATTTAACCAAGATTGATGGCTGTGCTCTCAGACCCAAATCAGGGCCCAGTCCATAGGAAATGTTGATTGTTGCATGAGCCCCAGGCCCATGTGGCAAGACCCTTCCCCTAGACTTTGCTAGAATGTGTTATCTTCTCTCGTTCTTTTATACAATGATCAAAGGCATGGTGCCAAGGCCATGGTACCCTGCAGGAGTGGCCCCTGGCCTTGCTGCCTCAGAGAAAGAATTCACTAGGGACCAATTCCATCTGCGCCGCCCCCCACCCCGTGCCCCCGCTGCCCTATGTCCTGAAGGAACCTGGAGGGTACAGCCCGTGTCTCTCTCGCACACCACTGCATGCTCAGGGGCTAAGCACAGGGCTTGGCACACTCGAGGTCCAGAGAAGCACTGGTGGAGTTCAGACTGGCAGATCGGGTTTCTCCGGACTTAACTGCCCTGTGCACGTGCCTGCAGCTCTGGAACCTCCACCCGAACCATCGCTGGTTTCTGCCACTCCTGACACCACAGATGGGCCCTCTCAATGAAGACCCATACTCCGTACTTCCTGTCCTCGACCTTTGGCATTAAGCTCTGAACACTTCCAGCCTCTCTCTAGGGTCCTCTCTTCCTCACCCAGAGCCCCTGTGAAACCACAGTCCCCAGCCCCCAACCCCTGCCCATATTCTACAGCCCTCTGCTCCCACACCCGCTCTGGGGGGACCCAGGGCCTCAGCGGAGGCCACGGGCCATTGGGATCCGCACCCCACCACAACCCGGAGATTCCTTTGTGGTGGGGATGGTCTGGCCTGTCCCCAGGGAAGGAGAGGTGTGAGGATAGTCTACACCCCTCCACAGGTGCCCTCTCCCTAGAAAGCCAGGAAGGGAAGACAGGCAGAGCGAGGCCAGCAGGGACCTCACAGCCCTCTGGAGGAGGAGCTGACCAACAGAAGGCCCTCCTTCGGTGTTCAGGGCCCACAACCCCCTGGGATGTTGGCTCAGGACGCTACCTGGAGCCTTTGAATAAAGACTCTACACATACTTTTATAATCAGAAACTTTCAGTTTATTTTGAATAAACTACTCAACTTTGAGCAGATGACATTACCTCAACTTTTTCTTTGAAGAAAACAAAGATATATGGTAAATTCATGAAAACACAGTGCCTTCTTTACCTTTTATCTTTTGTAGGACAGAAAAATCCTGCCTGAACTTTCCATTTACGACAGCCACTGAGGGGACAGAAGGAAGCTCTCCACAGGTCAAGGGCTACAGGCTGTGGTCTGGGCACAGGGCCTCCTGCAGCGCCTGTGGACAGGGCCACAGGCGGATGCGAGTGCACTGCACAGCAGCTGTGTGGTCCAAAAAACGCCCAGAGACACGCAGGGTGTGACTAAAGGTGCAGAGCTGCAACTCAGGTCCTGGGCCATGGCGGCGACACAGGATAGGTAAGACGCCAGGGTGGTCCGTGTGCCCACAGAGCGTTCACACCCCACCCTGGGCCACCGCAGGCACTCTGGTAGCACAGCGAGCTCCCCGGCGCCCAAACCCGGGCTCACTGGCTGCACTTCCTACTCGTTCTCCCCTCTCCACCCCAGGCCGTCCCTTGCAAGAGATGACAGGAAGAGACAAAACGTGAGCAGGGAGCCTGCATCCAGCCATGTACCCATGACCCGAAGAGTCACATCTGTCCTTTGTCTTTTCAAGAGTAATTCAGGTTACAGCCATGGTACCTGGGAAACGGCTGAGGTGAAAATGTTTGAGTATCAAGACTTCCCACACAGTATCCACACATCTCCCAAGCAGCTCTTCCAGGCAGTCACGGAGGCTCTGCCGAGCACAGGCAGCTCTGCCAGCCTCTGAGCGGAGGCGCTGAACAAAGCCACAAAACCCCGAGAATCACAGACTTTTAACTTTTCAAAGGCCCACAGGACCAGGTGCAGGGCAGGTAAGACACCACACAAACCACTCACTCTTTTGGGCTTAACTGTGCAAAAACTGATCTTCTTCCCTGGCCAGCCCCTCGCACTACAGCAGCTGGGACCACAAGCCAAGGACCCTTCCTGGCCTCAGACTCGCACGCCCTACAGGCAGTGACACCCGAAACCAGGCGATGGGGAGAGCACCTGAGCCCCAGAGCTGCTGCTGGACACACTCCAGCTCACATGAAAACAAGGCCCCTGAGCCGGGAAGACAAGTGCCTTGGAGGGCCATGCTGCACTCTGACCCTGAAGTGCACCAGAGGAGAGGAGCAGGGCAGCGTTAGGTATGGCTGTGTGTGAACCTGGTCAGAGTTACACACTGGAACACTGGCACAAAAGAAGAGACCATGGTTAAACAAATTTATTTTGGGGAACGATTCCCTTTGAAAGCGGATCTCTATCGTCAGGAGACAAAAGGGAACACTGCGCTGCACTCCCGCCCCCCGGTCAGTAGCCAGACCCAGGTAAGCCTCACCTTCAAGAATAAAGATGAGCCCGCTGACAGGCAGTGCCACCCGAAACTTATCAGACAGCCCGTGGCAAGATCCTGTTCTGTCCTGTCTCCTCACTGCCAAGGCAAGGCAGGTGCGCCCGACCACAAAAGGGTCTGAGGGACACGCAAGAGGCATGACGTGGTTCCCCACGTGCCATGCCCATTATGCAGACTAACTCAATTCCCCACCCGCCACCCAGGTTCCTCCCTTGGGATTCCAGCTGTGGCCAAACGCCAAGTGAGTCTGGGTGCAGAGGCCTTGGAACCCTCCCGCCTTGGAACCCTCCCGCAGTGCACACCCGGGGGGAGGCAGGGCGGGCAAGCAGCACGTGTTGCCTTTTAAGTAAATTAGCTAGAGGGTAAAACACTCCAATGCCAATTTATTTTTAAAAAGGGTTCTGTGTAATTCTATAGTTGGTTTGCCTTTTTTTTTTTTTATAATTTTACAACCGTTGAAAATTACATAAGTTGTAATGATCTAATACTATTATTAATAGTCATTCAGAAAAAAACTTTCCCTCCCTCCCAACAACCATCCAGGGGGAATTAAAAAATCCTGAAGAGGCCAAGAAACAAAAAGCAAAAAGATGAGAACAAAACAGAAATTGACTAAGAGGTACGTGGCCAGTGTCTCTCAGGAGTGGGGCCCTGGCTGCTGCCTGGGGTCGTGAAGGCAGAGCCTGCAGCATGCAGTACGGCAGCCGGGAGCCCTCACAGCCACATCGTCCTCGCTCCGGCACACCTGTGTCCAGCCTAGGTGTCATGGAAATCCTTCAGCAGGGTTCTCCTCCGCTGCTCTGCTATGTGCATCTGGTTTTCTAAGTCCTGCACCAGGGAAGCAAAATGAATGCCTGCAAGACCCAGCCCTGTGAGCAGGGGCAGTCAAAGCCACAGTCACCATGATGGGGGCTCTGAGGGGTCAAAAGTACGGCCCTTCCCACCCTTCTTAGCAGCACCTTCCAGCCCACAAAACAACCCTGCCACCTCTAACATACCAGTCCTCCCTCGCCTGCAACAGCAGGTCCGAGAAGACGGCAGGCTCTTACCCCTCTGTCGTAGCTGTCCGCACGCTCCACTTTCCATGACAGGTTTTCGATCTCGGCCTCCAGTTGAGCCTGCTGGTATTCAAACTGTATGGGCAGAGGAGGAGGGTCAAAGGAGAGGGGGCTGCAGCCGGGCAGGGCCTGCAGGCGGAGGGGCAGACGCAGCACTCAGGCTCACCAGAGCTACAGGCAACCCCCGACGCTGTCCTCAGAGAGCAATGCTAGTCCTTGTGTCCGGCACCAGGCCCAATCAAAAGGCTGCCTCAGAGTACAAATGGCAAAGCTACACTAACTCCCCACCCCAAGGAAAGGGCAAGAATTTATGCCACCACAGAGAATGCTCCCAAAATACAGGGAAACAGATGCTGTAAAAACATGTCAACACAGATATGCACAGACACTGTACTCCCTGAATACTTTTTTTTTTGGCTCTTCTGCAAATCAAGTCTTAAAAATAGTCAAACCGTTTGACTTAGTAATTGTACATCCAAGCTTTATGCACAAAAGATGTCCCTCAATGTCTTATTTATAATAGTAAAAAACAGAAACAATGCCCCACAAATTATGGTACATCCATAAAACAGAACACTTAGGCAACTATTAAAAAATGATATTAACCAGCCTGGTGAAAATAATAACAGCTACAACAATAAATAGCTATAACAATAAAATGCAATATATACATACATACATATCTATGTATCTCATATATATACTTATATGTAACATTAATTTTATATTATATATAAATATATATGTATCTATATATGATAATAAGGATCTATCATATATAGATACCTTTGTAAGTATTAATTGTAGATTAAATTGATTTTTTTTTTTTTAGAGAGAGGGAAGGAGAAAGAGGTAGAAAAACATTGAAGTGCGAGAAATCCATCAATCAGTTGCCTCTCACACGCCCCCAACTGGGGACCTGGCCTGCAACCCAGACATGTGCTCTGACCAGGAATCAAACCAGCGACCTTTTGATGCCCAAGGTGGTGCTCAATCCACTGAGCCACACCAGCCAGGGCTAAAACTAACTTTAAAAGGCTAGAAAATGCTAACATATGGCCATTTCTTTCTGATGGGATTACAGATGATGTACATGTTTTTCTATGTTTTTCAACATTTAGACACTAGATGTGAATGACTTTATAAACTGAGGAAGGGGGGCATGACAAGTCATATACGAGATAAAGAATTAAATGAAGATGTAAAAAGTCCACTATCATTTAAGGACATGTATGCTGGATATTCTCCCAAAGCAGGTACACTGGCCTCTCAAGCGGCCACAGACCTTGTCAGCCAGTTGGCCTGTATGTATGGTCATGTTCAGTATGGCTGCCTTACTACTACACAAAATGCCAGCACCTGAGACCTATTTTGGAGATGCCTAGAGGAAAAATGAAATTTGAAAATAAAGTTTTGTTTTGATTTTGCCCCCCCCGCCCCGCCCCCAACAAAGGCACCTCTGAGGCTAAGAGGGCAGGGTAGAGGGGCTGCTCTGCCTTACCAGCTTCTTCCTGGGTCCAGACTCCATGTAGTATGCATATGGGTACGTGTACTGCAAGGTGTATCGACACTGCAACAGGAGAGAAGGGAAGGTACCTGTGTCTATCATTCTAACCTACGTGCATCTCAGGCGACTTTTACAATTCTTACCCCACCATGCAAATTAGCCTGGCTCTACAGGTATGGGCCTGAAAGAAATGAGACCAAGCCAAATAAAGGATGAATTGGGGGACAAAATGGAAAAAAATGAAACAAAAGTGGCCACAGAACACCCACAGTTCCTTTTTCAAGCTGTGATTTATTTACCAGCAGCCGCCTCAATGGCTCTCTTCCCTCTCGAGTCGGACATCAGAGTCCACACATCTATCTCATTAACTGTCCAAAGACAAGCTCTTATTTTCCTTTGAGTGATGCATGGATGGGACAAAAGAAGAAAAGGGCTCTAGTTTCCCCCGCAGTTCCTTCCCTGCAGGCAGAGGCAGTGGACTACTCTTCTTGGAATTTCCCTGGACATCAGTAGAGGACTGGGTCCTTTGTGCACGCAGCACAGGGAATTGTCAACCCAAAAGCAGAAGCATGCAGGGCTGCACAGGGTGCTAATGCCCCTTGCCCCCTTCAGTGTCCCCCACCCTCAGAAGTCTGGGCCTGACAGGGCCAGGCAGTGGGCAGGGAATCGGAAGACTGAGGTGGTACAGACCTTGGCCAAGAGCTTGGCAGCATTCTGTAGGTACTGCCAGTCAATCCACGTCCCGAGATTATTCATGACCCTCTCCTGGATCTTCTCATGAATGCGCTGGTACGTCTGCGCCTCCAGCTGCAAGCTCTTGTTGTGGTTTTCCCACTACAGGGTACAGAGGAAGGAGAAAGTTGTAGGAGTCCTGGGAAGGCACGGAGGTCCACACTGGAGTTCAGAATGGACAACCTGGCTGGAAGGGCATGGCCACAGCCTTATGTAACTTATGGGGACTGAGTGTTGTTGGGAGTGCAGGAGGAGATTTCTGTAGTCCACACCACTCACTGTGTCTAGAGCAACTGCCTGCCAGATCACCCCACCTCTATGGGGCAGAAAGGCTCCAGCCCTGAGGACTAACAGGCTACGACTAGTCTGCTGAGCTCAGAAACCAAATGTGCTACGCTGTGCAGGCTTCTGAAGGGTCTTCCTGGGAGGAACTGCCTTGTAAATCTGACTATTAAGATGGCACTGCATGGAAGACTATCTGATGGTCACCCACTGTCCTTTAATCCAGCATTCACACAGTCAGCACCACATTCTTCCTTGTCAACCGTGGGTGCCCTGTGGAGTCCGAAAGCCGTATCTATGGAGGTATCATCCAGGGCTACAGCAGGTGAACCATGCCCTGACTTCTGTATGCACATGCAGGCTCTGGCTACCGGTCATGGAAATTCCACCCCAGTAGGTCAACTGAAGAAGCCCACCCTCAAGGAGCAGCTGCAGGAGAGGATGCCTACCCTCTCAAAGTAGAACAAATACTTCTTGAGGGCCTCTCTGGCTTGGGCCTGCTGGCTCTGGTTGACGATGTCGGGGTTCTCCTTGTACCGACTGCACTCATAGTACTCACTGCCGTGGGTCTTCCAATCTCCTAGACACATCCAGCAGAAGTCTGCACAGAACAGAAGGAGGGATTCACACACACAGGACAAGCCCATAGTCCTCCAAAGGCAAAAGCAGTAGGACACAGAGATCCTGCCAGGGAGAGTCCACCTGATCAGAACTTCCCAGGGGAGCCTCTTCCCAGGGGGAGTGTGCACCTCTCATCTAGTCATATCCCACTGTCCCTGGAGCTTGCCTGTGCCAATCTACACAAAAGCCTATGTGTATTCTCAGTTCCATGAGCATACGTGTTTTGTGTTTGTTTTGGTTTTTTTTGAAGATTTTATTTATTTTTAGAGAGGGAGAAAGAGAAAGAGAGAAACATCAATGTGTGGTTGATTCTCACATGCTCCCTACAGGGGACCTGGCCTGCAACCTAGGCATGTACCCTCACTGGGAATCGAACCAGCAGCCCTTTGTTTCGCGGTCTGGCACTTAGTCCATTGAACCACACCAGCCAGGACTGCTTTGTGCCTTTTTAATCCAGTGCAGGCAGATATTGACTGTACAAGACCACTAGTCTAGTAAAGTATAGTGTAGAGAATATAGTCAATAACACTGTAATAACTAGGTATGGAGCCAGATAATACTGGAAGTGTCAGGGGAAACACTGTATACAATTATCTAACCATTATGCGGTGCTCCTGAAACACAAAATAATACTGATTGTAAACTGTAACTGAAACACAGGATTTTTTTAAAAGCATTAAAAAAAGATCACTAGTCTGTTGTGTCAATGCCACTGTGAGAAGCAGAAATGTTGCAGAAACTTGTCCAACCGAGGCTCATTCACAACACACACTTGCCCGCCTGCCTACCTCCCTCTCCTACAATGTCTGTTCTAGGAATATTTTGTACATGAAACTAGGGATAAAGGCTTTATACCCTTCTACTTTTTAAAAAAGCACATTTCTATAAAACCTACAACTACTCAACAGTTCATATGCAGAATTATGACTCTGCTTCCACATTGGGGAAGCTAAGAAGGAAAAATAAAGATCCCTTATGGATGCTATACTTCCAAACAATTACTGGGATCCAACGAAGAGGGGCCAACCACAGTTCTGTTAGATGTCCAATACCAATCTGTATTTTTGTCTCTGCCAGAGACCTGACAGTACGAAACCCTGTTCCCCAGGATGCACTCCTAGAAGTTGACTAACTTCCCAAAAGTCACTCCTATAAAATTCAGGGACGCTGAAGTCAAAACCGGAGACCGAGTGGTCATTCACTTCCCTTCTCCTGACGGTCCTCATTGGACAGTGGCAATATTGCTCTCCTTAGTCAGCTAAGCTATGCTTGCTACTTTTTTAAACACTACTCTTGCTTAGGACTGCCTGTTTGGGTGGTAAAACTACATAGCCATCAAGGAACAACAGTTAACTCTAGGCAACAAGGGATAAGGAGACCATGACTGGGGAGAGACAAATGGGTACGAGGAATGTGGTGGATACTGGGGGTATTCACTCTGTCATCTCTCTTTAGACTGTATGTGTGTCCTAAGTCGCTGTTCCCCTCTAAGACCTTTCCGTGTCCACTATGATTACAGTGAGCTCCTGGGAAAACACATGAATAGTACCAGATAGGCCCTTAAAGAGACACTCTCAGGTTCTCCTGGTTGGCGTCTAAGCAGCCGTGTGGGAGATCTCTTGCACATATTTTCTACTTGAAGGAATTTTACTTCTCTACTTGATCTGGCAGACAGGAAAGCAAAACCAACAGGTTCTATGCAACTTACTCCTGACAGGTGAAGGATGCCTGAAAGGCCAAGTCAAAACTCCCTCTAGGAACTTCATAAAACCTCAGAGGAAAACTGTTATTTTACAATCTCCAGTAAAACCATGTAGAGTCTACTCTAAAATGTATCTGTAAGGTAGCAGAGATAAGCCACATGCTACTTACCTATTTCGGCAAAAAAAAAAAACCCAGAAAGGAACATGCTAAAATTTTCTTCTTGGATGACTAAGGGTCATGAGGGTCTAAGAGTCATCCCAAACTTCTTTTTTTTGGGTAAGATTTTATTTAGACAGAGGGGAAGGCAAAGAGAGAGAGAGGGACAGAAACATCAATGTGAAAGAGAAGTAGCAATTGGCTACCTCTTGTACATGCTCCAACCAGGGACTAAACCTGCTACCTGGGCATGTGCCTGGAAGCGGGAACTGAATTTCGTAATGACACCCATCCAACTGAGCCACTCCAGCCAGGGCACAAACTTGACTTCTGACTATGTGTGCCAGCAAGATAGGAGCAGGATTGCAAGAGGGACCAAAAAATAGTAAATAAATACTATGACTATGTCACTACAAAAGTACTCCCTAACAAACAACAGAGACCCAAGCACAAGGAACACAGACTGTGCACCACAGGGCCTTGAGCACCAAGCCTGGAACTCACCGTGTTTACACTTGGAGCATTGCTGTCAGAGGAGAACAGAAGAGAACATGTTAAAGGCATGCTGACCAAAGGCTCCGTGTCACATACACAAAGGGTACAGGCTTCTGCTCACCATGTGATTGCAGCCTCCATTCTTCTCAATGCAGATGTTGCACTTGGGACACTGAGGAGACAGAAGGGCGCCATTAGGCTCACGTACCATCAGGTCGGTTCTAACACAAATTACACAAAGCTCCTGGTACCCGTGCCCAGTACTCATCGTGCGAGCACTTCTGGGGAGGAGCATCTCACTTAAATGTGGCGGGTCGCTGAGGCTGGAACAGCAATCCAAGGAAATGAGGTCAGCATGTTTGGCTCTGAAACACTCCAAGCACCAGCCGAGCCGCACTAAGCCTTCCATCATCTGTCCCTGCCACCGGGCCGCTCAAGTTAAGTGCAAGCGGAGTCAGCAGAAAGCCTGCCTGCTTGGGAGGAATGCCAAAGCAGCACGAGAGTGGGACTAAGTCCTGATCAGCTTGCCTGCACTTCTGCTTCTAGAAGAGGGCAAGGAAACAACCTCTAAAGCTTGCTTACTCTCATCTGAGAGGCAAAAGCAACCCTAGGGAAGCACTGCAGAAACCAATCGAATGCTGTGCCACAAAGCAGACTGTATTTAATGAAGTCATGTTCACAGCTGTGCTTGTGAGCATATCAACTCAGTGCGTGACTGGCACAGGGTAGGGCCTTGGGTGCCAAGTCATCCAGGGCTCAAGGGGCTGTGGGTCATGCTTTCCCACAGAAAGTTTCAGAATAAGAATTGGGAGTGCCTGGGCTTGCTTTAGAGTCTATTTATTAGGGGTGGCTATCAACCACCTCCTCCCTGCCAGGGATAGTAAAGCCTGGAGGCATTCAATAAAAACCTTAGTTGTTTTTTTTCTAATTAGTTCCTTAACTTTTCCAGGCATTTCAGCATTTTACTAAAACAAATGCACCAATCAATCATACTATGATGAACTGCTGCTACTTCTGCCAAGTCTGGGCAAGGGGTCTGCAGACTCCAGCAAGGACCCCGGGACTCTGGGTGTTTTGCTCTCAGGTGGCAGATCTGGGCAAGGCCCCGGGAAGTACTAAGGAGGGCAGATCCATGACAGGTAAGACACAGTCCTTACATCTTTAGTGTGAGCACTAATGTAGTTGGCCGTTTCAGAGTCGTCCGCACACTTTGTGAGCCATTTCCGGATTGTGGCGCAGTCTGTGGGGGCGTGATACATCTGACGACACTTGAAACTCGAAATCAGAAAAGAAAAACACTCAAATAATCGTTAGGTCAGGTTTTTTATTTTCCTTTCATCCAAGCCAGGAGATCCTGAGTTAGAGCATTTCAGAGGGAAAGTCACCAATGAAGGCCTTTTAGACATTTACTTGGGATTACACTGAAATTTATGTACACTTCTCTTCAGTCTAAGCCCTTCTAAGATACACTTTCAATCAATCAATGAAGATTCTGTCGTAAATGTCTTATGTGGTGTCAACACTTCCTGGAAGGATGTCAGATTCAGAATTCAGCCTCTGCAGAGGCATGGTGAGGCTCTCTGAGAAGGATGCCTCAGCTCAGACCCAAGGCAGGGCCAAGAGCCGCTTCTGGGGGCTTTGGCTTATCTTTCAGCTAGATGTGCACACAGGATGCACAAATGCCAGAAATGCACCATGTATAGGGGCATGATATATCTAACAATGTAGGAAACTTATGCTCAGGAAAAACACACTCATCAAGGTCAACCTCCATGATTTTAATTTCCTTTTTGTTAAGGCCCATACAACTTGATGGCTAGTACAAGCACATGCCCCAGGGAAGGAAGTTGAGCATGTGGGGCACGAGGGATGGAGAGCAACTACATTAGTGGTGGCTCTTAACATCTGGTGAGCCACAGGCTCTCTCAACAACGTCTTCAAAGACCGGCACATGTGCACACGTGCCACATTTTCCATGCTGTTTCTCCAAAGCCCGACCATGAAGTTCCCCGGGAGGCATGATTAGGGGGACACATTTGGACTGGGTGAGAACTCTTGCCAATACCCTGCACCTCAATTGCCTCACCTAACAAGGATAACAACAGTATGCCAAACATACACAGCTGTGAAAATGAACGTACACTGATCAGGATAGTGCCTTTTCCCTGGTAAACCTTCAGTACACTTTAGCTATTCCCATCATTTATTGAATGAAGTAAACCCCAAGTAGGTACGTATAAACCACATTTGTGAATTATAGGGTGAATTATAAAGATTAAAATGTTTAAGATTATAAACAGTAATATGTAAATTACTTGTGCAGGTACATAGACACATGTAATCTCTTGGGTTATGAGTCTTAGTAGCATAAAACATAGCACATTCTTCAAAAATCTGTGCCACTTTCTTGTCTCCAGACTGAGCATTATCAAACATAACATGGAACATGAGATGCTGTGTACAAACCCTGCCCACCTGGAGCAGAGCTGCTCTCTTGGTTCAAAGACCCTGTCTCTCCCAGCCCCCCTCACAGGAGCATTGGCAGCGGTGCTTTGAAGGAGGAGAAGGCATGAGCCCAGGGCTGTTCAGCATCCACACTCACTCTTACCAAAAGACCTCGTTGCACCGATTGCACTGGACTCGGCGAGCTCTGGGCTCTTGTACCTGGATGACCATGGGGCAGTCTGCACCAGGGCACAGCTGAAGCTGATAATGACTCTGTGAACACAGCAAGGGGAAACAATGAGGTGATCCCCTACTGCTGCCTCCAAATTAGACTTCCCTGAGTACTCAAACACCTATTCTTCCAGCTGATGACTTACATCAAGGGGCTATAGAAATTCAAGATAAATGTCGTGAAGCTCAGACATTAGGCAGATATTGAAGACCCTGGAATAGTTAATTAAACTAGGTAGCAATTCACTAGAATGATCTAGGATTAGAGTACAAAATGGGATACAGAATTGTATCTGTGAGATGAAAATGCAAAGCAACTTCATCAGCTAAGAGGCCCAACAACCCTCAGCCATGTACCGAAGGCAGCAAACAGAAGACGGAACAAGGCTCTGTTTATGCTGCAGCAGGTGCGTGAGAAGACCGAGACCATCAAACAATCCAGCAAGCTCAGGCATAAAAAAAGAAGAGAACTATGTTGTACGAAACCAGCAAGCCAAACAGGTAGCCATATAGAGGAGAAGGACTCTAAAAGTGACCATGCTGGAATCCTGGACAAGATTTCAAACTGCACAAGAAGCAATACCCCTTTCTCTGGGCTGAACCACACAGTGAACTGAATGGAACAGCAACTACTGAGTTATTCCTGACTTGTGTTTAAACTTGGCCTATAAGCTTGTTTAAGCAACGCGTATACGGTGGATAACTGACCATTCTACAAGAGAAAACCAAGGCTTAGGGAGGTAAAATAATGGATCAAAGGTTATGCAGTGAGGAAGTAACAGACCTGGAATTCACACAATTGTCTGACTCAAGTCTGTGTTCTTCACTATCATTCTAATGGTTTAAAAAAAAATTTTTTTTTTTTACTTGCACAAAGGTTTCAAAATCTTTTTTTAATCCTCACTCGAGCACATGCTTATTGATTTGAGAGAGAAGGAAAGAGAGAGAAAGAGAGAGAGAGGAGAGGAACATCAATGTGAGAGAGAAACATCCATCGGTTGCTTCTCCCACACATCCCGACCAGGAACCAAACCACAACCCAGATATGTGCCCTGACAGGGAAACGAACAAGCAACCTTTCAGTTTACGGGATGCTGCTCCAACCAACTGAGCCACAACAGCCAGGGCTCAGATTTTTTTAAATTTGAAGAAACTCTTTCTTCAAATGCCAGCACCTAATGGCAGCCTTGTCTATAAAGCAACTATAGTGAGCATCTGATGGAAAGGAGGCCCAGGAAGATAGAGGCCACAAACACAGGAGCTGGTCGTACCTCCACATAGTCCCTGAAGAGGTAGCGCCTGTATTTGTCTCTTAGTTCTTCATTGGGCAATAATGGAAACACAAAGTCCTCTGGTGTTCGAAGTGGGCAGTCTTGAGCCATGCAAGAGACTCCTGTTGAACAAAGACAATGTGATGGACAACTGCATTTGCTCACTGAGTTCAACCAAAAATTCAGATTCTACATAGGAATCCCCTGAAGCAAGAGAATTTATTCAAAGAATGAAATTAATGTATTTGCACAGTGATGCAACTAAAATATTGTCTCAAATTACATATGCATTACAAATAGTACCTCTAAAAATATCTTTTAAAAAATCCGGTATGGTTCCTGACTAATGACTGAGTTTTGTGATGTTTAATATTATATGCAAGTGATTCTGACCAACACATGAGATTCTGCAGATGTAATTCATGTGATGCTAATTTCATTTCAGTATCATGTTATAGTATGACAAATACTCTCGTAACCAACCATCAAATTTGACTTATACTGTTACCTAAATAACAAATTCTCTGGTGTTTCTGAGTTATGGTTGCCACCTTGGGGAATCAAGATAGGCTAGGCAGCTTAAAGAGCAGTTCTTCTGAAAGTTCTCCCAAGAGGCAGCCTTACACTCACACCAACATTTACATATATGCCCAAACAACAGCCTTAATTGTCTCATTTTGTTCAGGTCTAGGGAAAACTTAGCTTCTGTTCAGACTGATGTTTGGAAAGCAGTGGTTCTGACAATCAGGCTGAAGAGAAGATATGCAGGTGACCTGTGTATCTGAAAGGGTCGAACCAGAGATAAATGCTCTGTGCCAGCCTCTTCTAAGTTCTATGGCAGACTCACCCACACCCACGCCGTCTTTGACAAGTACTGAGCAGTGCTGCTCCCAGCAGCTGCGGCAAAACTGGTGCTGACAGGCCAGAGAGAGTAGGTTTTCCTTCCGCACAAACTGCATACACACTGCGCAGTGGTGAGGGGGATGGGCTGTGGGGACCTGGGGAGAGGCAGAGCCACATGAGTTAAAGAGGAGGCTTCAGTTCCTGGGAGACCACAAGGGTGCCTTGTGTGGCAATCCTGACCCTGCCACAAGTGTTAGAACTTAACAGCAATGTGTAAACTCTGGGAGCACCAAGAATTCTGAGCAGAAAGCACTATCAGGAAGGCTTCCCGAAGCAGATGGCACATGAGCTGGGCATGGAGAATTACTAGAATTCAACGAAGCAGAGAGAACGTAGAGTAGTTTAATAATTTCAGGCTGAAAAGCTCAGGATTTCAGAATCGTCAAGGTCCTTAGAGGTCATTCAGTCCAACTCCTCTTAGGGGCTACTGGGTTTCTTCTGTTGACTGGCCCGGTGCAGCACGGCACAGAGTTGCCCCTCAACAGGTACTACAAACCCAGTCATAAAGGTTCTGAGGCTGCGTAAAGCTTCAGACAACCCACACTGCAGTTTTATTTATTAAAGACAGTAGATTTCCCATGTCAATATGCCCAAAATACAAAATATTACAGCCTCTGTCAAGTTACAACTCATCCGTAACACATGGAAGAGATGTCACATACAATTAATTTAGAGGGATGTAGAAGGCTCCTTCTAAGCAAGAGACTCTTCTAGGATGCGGGCAAATACCTCTAAAGCTTGAGCTCCACGATCCATGCTGTGCCATACAAACCGGCAGACAAAGACAATTGGGGAACCACAAACCATGGAGAAGTCCACTACCTGTCTACATTAGGTTCTTGTTAGTTCAACATTAGAAAAAGGACTGTATTCCCATGTTTACCCAGTATGGGACTAGAAATCTGCTAATAGGCTACAGAAGTTATGTGGTGATCTGAGCCTCAATTCTCCCTACTGAGGGCTCTTTCAACATAGCCCTCATTCATTTGACAAATATCTGCTGAACTTCTAGATATAGAGGAAATTGCTAGGCATTGTAGGGTATGGTTTCTATCCTTAAACCACTTACGGTCTGGTATAGGAGAACTAAAATGATGACTGAATCACAATACATATGTAAAAGTTTAAAGATATAACTAGAGGAATTTGGATGACAGTGATCACAGAAGATAGGTTTTGTGAGATACAGCTTGGATTTGGGTCTTTAAAAGTGAGTTCCGTACAATAAAAAAACTTTTAAAAAAAAGTGAGTTTCATTCCCACAAGCAAAGATTGGGACAGGCTGTAAACAGTCCAGGCCAGGGAAGGCCTAAGCAGAGTCAAAAAGACATGCAGTGAGCTTGGAATACCAAGGCACCCCGCAGGAATGGAATGCAAGCTGTGTGTAAGTGCAAAGAAGGTGAGGCTGAGGAGAGTCCCAGGACTGGCAATGACAGACTCCTCAGCTATGAGGCAGCTTTTCAAACTATAATGGAAATGAAAAATTTAAGCCTATACCGGAACAAATACCTCAGGCACGTTGTACTATAAACAAAGCAAGGCGGTTCTCAGTAACACTGTAAAGCCACAGTGAGAGCTAAGCCATGTGCATTGGGAGAAGCCCTACCAAGTAGGAGACACTCACATGCTTGGATGGATTCGGCTGAACACGAGCCTCAACGAGCAGCTGAGCAGAATTAGACTTGTATCTACAAAACAAAAAGCAGAAATAAAGAGAATCAGAAACTGAAGGCAAACAGTTTTGCCTCTGAATAAAGACAGACAAAACCAACAAGTGTGGCAGTCATTCTAAAATGCCTTTGTCTCTAATTCTACCTCACAGAACTAAGCTTCCTTTTGCCTTAGTGCAAATATTTTTTTCTTTCAATTTTTTAAGCTCTCAATTGGTATGAGAATTATAACCCTGCTTCAAAGGCACTGAACTGTAAGAAAAACACTCATAAAGGATCACTTCTGCTTTAAATTTTTTTCTCGAAGTAGAAGCAAGTATCTCTACGGCTTCAGAATAGAGAAAGAAGCTTAAGACAAAAAATGTAATGCATAAAGGAAAACTGAAGAATTAGGCCACATTTTAAGAACTTTGGTTCATCAGGATATACCATAAAGTGAAAAGTCAAGCCATAAACGAGGAGCTAATGCAATCCCTATACTGGCAATGGATTAATATCTAGAATAAACAAAACGAAAACTCCTAAAAGCCCATCTGAAAAAAACAAAAATAACAATAAAAATGGACAAAAGAGAGATTAGGCATTTCACAAAAGAGGAAACACAAATGGCCACTAAACATAGAAAACATGCTCAAACTCCCAAACAATCCGGGACATTGAAATCAGAAACAATTAGATGCCATTTACACCCACCAGATTGCAAAACTTAAGTGTGGCAGTATCAGGAATGCTCACACACCACTGGTGAGCATGTAATTTTGAACAATTACTTCAGAAAACATTTTGGCATTATCTAGCAAAGTTTTAGAAACACATAACCTATAGCCCATCAACTTACTTTGTACTCTTTTTTTCTTCAAGATTTTATTTATTTATTTTTAGAAAGAAGGGAAGAAAAATAGAGAAACACTGACGCTTGAGAGATACCTATTGGTTGTCTCTCGCATGCCCCCAACTAGGGACCTGGCACACAACCCAGGAATGTGCCTCAACAGAGAATCAAACAAGTGACCTTTCAGCTCGCAGGCCAGCGTTCAATCCACTGAGCCACACCAGCCATGGCACACTTATTATTCTTAGCCCTACAAAAATTATGTGACACTGGAAATCATGTACAAGAGTTTTCAAAGCTGCATAATCTGTGACAGAAAAAACAAGACACACACACACACACACACAAAAAAACCTTCATAAATGGTTTTTTGACAAGAGGATGAAGAGGATGTGTGCACACACAAATTTTTGAAAAACCACTATTTAGTAATAAAAATCTAATTCCTTCTGGAATGAGGTATGGCATAAATACATTTAAAAATATAACCAATAATCATGTGGCAATGAAAGTGTTATATGAAGCCCAGCAAAAACCAAGATAACCAGCATTACCAAGATAACAGGAATCTGAGCAGGGAAGAATTAAATGTTATACGTGTGGTCCTTACTCCACCTACTCAGAATGCCTCCTTTAATTATTTTTATTCCTACTTCTCATGCTACCATTCTTAATATCTTTAGCCATCCAAATGTTCTCCATTCCCAAATTACACTAACGAGTTTGGACAGTGAGAGACACCTCACTGCTGAAACCTATGTGGTCCCAGAGTTAGGACAGCAGTAATAGGGGTGCAGGGGGAAGTTCTTACAGAAGTCAATCCAGACCTAGTATACAGCTCTTGCGTAGGAGTGAGAGTGCAGTTAGTGAAGGAGGAACACATTTGCTCCTTTCTGGGTGGAACAAACACTCCAGCTGGCATGGCCATCCCAATGGGGTTTAGCCTGGAGGCGGAAAGGCATGACCTTCCTCTGCAGTTACAGTGGAATCACGCCATACAGAATAAGACCCACTGGAGTGTGAAAGTGCAGGATGGTGGCCAATGTTTCTCACCAGGGGGAATCTGGTTCTCTAGGGGCTATCTGGCAGTGCCTGGAAACATTTTTTATTTCAAGGACTTGGGCGTACCACTGCTACTGACTTACACTAGGTAGAGCCTAGGGACTCTGCCAAACCTCCTACAAGTCACAGAACACCTCCCCACAACAAAGAGTGATCTTGCCCAAAATGTCAACAATGCTGAGGATGAGACACCCTGAGCTAGACAGAAGCATGTGCCTCTGGCAAGAGGGGTGTCTAGGAAACACCTCCCCACGACCAGGGGGAGGAGAAACCCCTCTCTCTGACAACTTCCAGGGTATGCTGAGACTGCAAAGGATGTGCCTCAAGGGCTCTGGTTCTGGAGGTGGGTGGTCAACTGGCAATCCTTTTCTCAAGGGAGCAGTGGTATGCTGTGATGCATTCCTCACTCGATGTATCCAAAAGAATTAACTAGAGATGTTGGCAAGTGTTATCAAGAAGGGCACTGATTACAAAGTAACAGGGCATAAAAAATTTGAACTTCACTGTACAACAATAGGGGTCTGAAAGTATAGAACAACTATATAATGAAATACTGTGCCAGCAATAAAAGTGGGATAGAAAGAATATGCTGAAAATATGGGAAAACATTCACTACATACTGGGAGAAAAAAAGGATACACAATATGATCTAGTGTTTTAAAAATATGAACACTGTAAGGATATACTCCAAAATGTGAACAACAGTCATCACTGCGGGGGCGGCGGGGGGGAGGATCTTCCTCCCCCAAACACCTTACCTGTCCAATATCTCTGCAACTTGCCAGTGGAAATTAACTAATATAAGTTTAGCAACTGAATGAGACACCTAGAAAGAAGAAAGAAAAAAAAATCAAATTATAACTGTAGTTCCTTTCAGAGAGCTCCACCTTATGAGAAATGCATACATTCATGTATATAGCAGGCCCAGGCTTGATTTCAAATTCTTTGTCTTGGTGCTCTGCTTTGACTTTTAAGTTCAGACTCTTATTACCTTAGAGATTTCCTGGATCTCTTTAATTTTCCTATCTCTGTTTTCATCAATGACCATCCAAGAAATCAGTCTCGGCATCCAACGTAAGCAAAACAGCTATGAGCTCCCTAATGTAATATATTCCCGCAAGCTGCTGTAAGAGGCCGCAAGTGGGAAGTATACTTCTTGTTAGGCCCATTACTTGCAGAAAATCTTTAGGTTTGGAATTCTTCTATAAATCCAGCAAAACAAACACTCCTGTTTAAAATCTCGAGTGCCTGGGATCCAGTGAACCCTAATTACAAGGATATTTGAAAGTATGTGGGCAGCCTTTCTAGCTCCTACACTCTCTTTTAAAGCATAGTGGTTATGGCCAAAGAGCCTCAGTAAGTGCTTTGAAGTAGCTATTCTAGTTTAGTAAATTTTTCTAAGGAAATTTTTAGAGCCTTTGTGTACCACAGTGTTTTTACAGGAGTAAAAAATTAAGAATAACCTAAATGTCCAACAAAAAAGGAAATAGATAAATAATATATAACAGATTCATGCAATGGACTACTATATAGTCACTGAAAAGGATGTTGCAGAAGTGTGTGACGAGGGAAAGAGGTTCACATTTTAATGCTACATTAAAGAAGCCAGTAGTAAGATAGCATGTACATGTTATAGCCACCATATCTTGTTAATAGGAGAAGTAAGCTAGTTATAAAACAGACCACCCTGAGTGTCAGGACTGGCAATGGGGGCCACAGAAGATCAGGATGTATCTGGATGCCAAGATCAGGCTTCTCAGAAAGAGCACTATGTACCATGAGGGTGCTATAAGGAGAAACAAGAAGCACACTTCAGGCTAAGAAGCCAAGAGAACACACAGAACCTTGGTATTCTGTTCACTAGACTATATTTAAAAGAGGAACTCCAAGGATCTGTAAGGTAGTGCATGCTGCTTCACAGGTAAGAACTGCAGGGGGGGAAGACACACATGACCAACATGTGATCCCTGCTCCTAGAGCTCAAGTCACTCCTGAAAGGAGACAGGCGCACCTCTACTAAACAATGGCATGTTCCAGTGCACAGTGCCAAAGGCTGTGCAGTAAGTGACTGCCTGCGTGTCCCAAAGCCCAGGTGCATCTGGAAAAAAACCAAGGACTCAAGACAGCTTATTTCACTAACGACAGGAGACCTCACTTCCCTTCCATACCAGGCAAGAGGCACCTGACCCAGGTATGTTGCTGCAGTAGTTTATTGTTGAGGTCTACAGGGACTTTAGGCCTAAAACTCATGAGTTATAGTTAACATTTCTTTTAACTGTGGCCATAACAAAACTATTCCTCCACAACAGACCACTATCACAAAATGATGAGACAAAACATCTGTTTTAAACTATGACTGTTTGAACAGAGCTTTTAGCTACATTTTTTTAAAAAACCTGATAGTAATACTGTTTAGGATAAGCTCCTTGCTGGAACCTTTTCTGTTATCTCTTCTTACCCAATGGGGCTCTGTCGGCCCTGTACCCACTGCTTTCTGTTCTGACTTCTATATGTCTCACCATGCAGTGGCTACTTGGTCCTATCAAGGGTACTGAGCCATGCAGGAATCCCTAAGGGTTCCTGGCCATATTTGGCAGCCACCTCCCCTTATTACCACAGGTGACTTAGGTGAAGCCTTTAAGGTAAGAACAGGGGTCAGGCCGCCTCTCACAGGTCCACAGAATCCAGAATTGGACCGGTCACAGGGTGGCCACTCAATAGATGCTGATAATCAAATTACATCATGCCTTTAATCTGTGCATTTTCAAAATGTAATTTCCCAACCTTCCTGAAGAAACAGAATTTCAACACTATACCTAGTCTGAGCACCTAATCAACTGCACTAACAGTAGCAACAAAGCCTCAGAATTTGCACATCTCGTACAACTCACCTATGGAAAACAACATGGCCCTCTGTTGAAACTGAAAATGTTAGCAATGACTGTAACTCCATTAATGATCAACTCAGAATATCCCAGTGGAGTTGAGTTTTGGTGAAACAGATAATGTGAAGAAAAGATGCACCTAGCACTTTATAAAACTGACAATAGAGTGATGTGAATCCATTCTTTTAGTGCAAACAGCCAAAGAACATACCAATATAAACTAAACAGTTAAGGGCACGGCAGCCACATGCACTTCACACCAGCCTTCTGCAGGGGGCACTACTGTGGTTCATACATCGGTGGCGGGGGGGGGGGGGGGCTGCGAGGGCAGTGTGTGAGAATGGGCCATTATAACATCCACTGTATATCGTAGAAACCTAAAGGAATTCTGAAACCATTAATTTAAGCAAAATGCAGTGTGACTGAACCTTGCCCAGTAAACAAAAACACTAGAGGATCTATAAGGAAGTCAGGTTCAAAAGGTTAAGGCAAAAGCAGCCCAGGGGTAGAAGAAGGGTACCTAGAATAATTTATGCTAAAAGTTGTCTCACTAGGGATGCCACCCCCCAACCCTGACTTGGGTCATAACAGAGAACCCACTGCACACACCCCCCCCCCACATACACACCCAACAATATAAACTCCCTTTTGACAAATTCAATAAACATTTCTCATGCATTATCTTTTTGGTAGAATCTGACACTTAACATCCCCTCCGCCTTAACAGCCCTCTTGGTCTCTGTGATGAGTCTCTTGCAGCACCTGTTCAGGTACAGGCATACCTCATTTTACTGCGCTTTGCAGATATTATCCCCCACCCCGTCGACTGAAGTTTGTGGCAACCCTGCATCAAGCAAACTATTGGTGCCATTTTTCAGATGGTGGTTAGGATTTTTTAGAAATAAAAATTTACACTTTTTAAAAAATATAATGCACACTGGCTGGTGTGGCTCAGTGGATTGAGTGCCGGTCTATGAACCAAAGGGGGTCACCAGTTCAATTCCCAGTCAGGGCACATGCCTGGGTTTTGGGCCAGGTCCCCGGGGGGGGGGCACGCTGAGAGGCAAACATACACTGATGTTTCTCTTCCTCTCTCGAAAAAGAAATAAAATCCTCAAAAAAAAAAAAAAGGCATAATGCCAATGCACACAACAGACTACAGTTTTATGTAGCAACTTTTATATGCACAGGGAAATAAAAAGATGCGTGAGGCTCACTGTATTGTAATATTCACTTTACTGTGTAATCTGGAACCACACCTGCAATGTTTCCAAGATATGCTTACACTCAAAATGGTATGCCCATCCTGGCACTGGGAGAACCACACACCCACAACCTTTCAAGCTGGAATCCTTGGCCTTTTTCTCTGCGTCTCACTCTTCCTTACCACTTCACCCTCTCCCATCATCACCGCTCTACACCGCCCCATCTCACACCTGCCTTTCCTAAGCACGCCCATCAGAAAAGCCTCACTTACCACCCGGACAATAGAAAAGCACCTTGTATTTACATGCCTGTTTATTGTCTGAACCCCTTCATGCCAAAATTCTCAAACTGAGCTTCGTGAAGCCCTGATGTAATGGTACAATAATAGACAACTCTTACAGAGTTCTTACATCTCACCAGGATCAGTTCCCACCCTGTTTAAAATCGATCACTGCTCTCTAGTACTAATGAGACACATCTTAGGCCCTTAGTTGAAGAGTCAACAGGACACACCATTGAATTCCCTTTCCCAGAGTCTGACAATACACCTAGGGATTCCTGCACCCCTGTACACTTCCTAAACTGTTCTCTGCCAAGAATGCCCATCTTTGTAGTGAACATTTGGAAATTGAAGAACATACTTCTATAAAACCTGCATATCAAGGAAGAAATCACAAGAAAGATTAGAAAATATTTTGAACTGAATGATAATAATGTCGCATAATAAAATTTGTGAGATGCAGCTAAATTTACTACCATAAATGTTTATACTAGAAAAGGTCCAAAAATCAATTACATAAAGATTGACCTTAAGCTAGAAAAAGATGACTAAACTCAAAGCAAGCGAAAAGAATAAAGATAAAAACATAAATAAAATCCAACAGTGAAAATTAACAGTTTGAAAATTGATTCTTTCAAAAACTCAATAAAGTCGATACAAACTTTAGCTAGAGCTTAAGGAAAAAGAGAATTCAAGTTACCAAAACAGGTAAAGAGAGACTACCCCTACAAATGTTATAATTGAAAGGAAAACAGCCTTTCCTTGGCTGCTGTGGCTCAATGGACTGCCAGCCTGTGAACCAGAAGGCTACCAGTTCGATTCCCAGTAAGGGCACAGGCCTAGGTTGTGGGCCAGGTCCCCAGGTGGGGGCATGTAAGAGGCAACCAATCTCTGAATCTCTTGCACATTGATGTTTCTTTCCCTCTTATTCTTCCTCCCATCTTCTCTCTCTAAAAAGTAAAAAGACAAAATCTTTTAAGAAATAAAAAAGGAAAATATTATGAATAATCTAATAAATTTGATATCTTAGATGACACTGACAAGTTCCCTGAAAAAAATACTTAACAAAACTGACACAAAATTAAAAAGAAAAACTGAACAGCTCTGTATCTATTAAAAACATTGAATTTGTGATAAAAATAATTTCTCACCAAATTCCAGGCCCTGACTGCGAATCTTATTTGTGTAAGATCAATAATAATCTTACATAAACACTTGGAAACTACAGTAGGAAGGAGTACTATTTACAAAGTCATTTTATGATGTTAACATAACCCTGATACAAAAATACAACAAGAAAAGCAAAAAATAAAACAAAAATTAAATCAGTATTTCCTATGAACACAGGCACAAAAATCACTCCGAATATTTCAGCAAATTAAATCCAGCAATACAGAAAAAGTACAGTGTATCATAATCAAGTAGTTCTACCCCAGGAATGGAAGGCTAATTTACCACTTGAAAACTCCTAATGTAACTCACCAAATTAACAAAATAAAGGGGAGAAAAACAAATAATCATTTCAGTAGATGCAGAAAACCCACAGACAAAATTCAATATTCAAATTCTCACCAAATTAGAGAGAAAAGTAAACTGCCTGAATCTATTGTAGGTCACCTATGAAAGCTATATACACTCAATGATGAAAGAGTGAATGCTAAGATCAGAAAAATGGCATGGATAACTACTCACCATCTCATTAACAGTATACTGTAGGCCATAGCCAGGGCAATAAAGCAAGGAAAAAGAAAAACATAAAATAAAAGATAGAATAAGAGACTGGAATGAAGAGGCAAAGCTGTCTCTATTCCCTAAAATGACTGTTCATGCAGAAAATCCTTATTTTTTTTTTCTCTTTTTAAAAGACTTTATTTTTAGAGAAGGGAAGGGAGGCAGAAGAGAGGGAAACATCAATGTGTGGTTTCCTCTTGCTGGTCCCCTGCTCCCCCCTTCCCTGACCCTTTTTGGGAACCTGGCCCACAACCCAGGCATGTGCCCTGACTGGGAATCAAACTGGCAACCCTTTGGTTTGCAGGGTGGCACTCAATGCACTGAGCCACACCAGCCAGGGCTCATGCAGAAAACCCTTTAAAAAAAAAAAATCTATAAAACGACTTCTAGAACTAATAAATAAATTTAGTAAGGTAACAAAATATAAGGTCAACAGACAAAAATCAAATGTATTTCTTCACAGCAGCAAATGAAAACTAAAACTTTAAACAAGTAAAATGCATTTTAATACATTTAATTTTACCCAGAATATCTGAAATATTATTTCAACATGTAATCCACAAAAAATGAATTATATTACATTATTTTTTAACCTAAGTCTTCAAAGTCCAATACATACCAATTTTAAAAGGTCACATTTCAAATGCCCCATGCCTACATGTGGTCACATCTACCATACTGGATAACACTAACAGACTGAACATGGCAATTAAACTTAGTTGGGTATTTTTGGTACAAATTAATAGTTGATCCCAAAATCTGTGGTACTGTAAAGAACCCAGAATATCCAAAGCAATCTTAAAGAAGAATAAGGTTGGAGGACTTAACACCATCTTGACTTCAAGACTTGCTATAAAGATACAGTAATCAAGACAGTGGGGCTTATAAACAGACATATAGATCAATAAAAGGGAAGAGAGTCCAGAAGTAAACTCATACATTTATGGTTAATTTTCAACAAAGGTGCCAAAGTAATTCAATGGAGAAAAGGACAGCCTTTTCAAAAAATGGTTCTGGAATGACCGAACAGCATTACACAAAACAAACAAAACATAGAACATAGATGCTTACTTCGTAACACACGCAAAAAAAATTAACTCAAAATAATCCACATATTTAAATGTAAAACTGAAAAATATAAAACTTCTATAAGAAAATCTTTGCAACCTTGGTTTAGGCAAAAATTACTTAAGATACAATAATGAGAACACAATCCTTAAAAGAAAAAAATCGATAAACTGGACTTCATCAAAATAACTTTTACTCTTCAAAGACATTAAGAAATGGAAGAGAAAAGCCACAGACTGGGAGAAAATAACTGCAAATTATTTATCTGATAAAGGACTTAATTCAAACTATAAAAAGAATTCATGCAACTTAGTAAGACAAACCCAATTTTTTTTAAATAGGCAGAAGATTTGGATAGGTCAAATACCAAATAGAAATATGAATAACAAATACTCAAAAGAAAAGATCCTCAACATCATTATTCATTAGGGAATAGCAAATTAAAACCACAAGATACCAATTCATATTCACTAGAATGATTATAGCTCAGAGGACTGACAATGTCAAGTGACAGGAAGGATGTGAAGAACCCTTCTTTAATGCTGGCGGGGATGTAAAATAGCAGAGTGACCCTGAGGAACAATCTGGCACGTTCTTAAAATGTTAAACATATACTTACCATCTGACCTAGCAATCCCATCCCTACATATCTATACAAGAGAAATGAAAATATATGTCCATATAAAGCCCTGGGCGTGAATGGTCATAGCAGCATATTTCATAATAGCCCAAAACTGGAAACAATCCAAATATCTAATAATGAATAATGGATAAACAAAATGTGGTATATCCATATAATGGAAAATCATTATTCAACAACAAAAAGGAAAGCATTACTGACCTGACACAATATGGATGAATTTCAAAAACATCATACTAACTGAAAGCCAGACACAAAAGACTACATATTGTATGATTTCATTTATATGAAATTTTTAGAAGAGGCAAAAACTAGAGAGACTGAAAAATGGTCTAGTTCCCTGGTGCTGGGAGTAGGGACTGACTGCAAATGGACACAAGGAAACTTTTTTACATGAAGAAAATATTCTACAACTCAAGTTGTGGTGATAGCAGCACACCTGCATGTTTAGAGTTCACTAAAACTCATCTACCAGTACATTCTAAAATGGGTGAATTTAATAAAATGTAAACAATTCTTCAATAAAGTTATATAAAAATAAAATTGATGGATGGATAGTATATGATAAAGCAAATGTAGTAAAACTTAGCAATTATATAATCTAGATGACAGGAATATAGATGCCCACTGTACAATTCTTTAAACTTCTTCGTATGCTTTAAACTTTTCATAATCAAAGTCAGGGGAAAAGTTTACCAAATTCAATTCAATGGCAATCACTTGCATAAACAAATATCACAGTAAAGAAAGGGTTGACCCTACTGTGACCTACTTCTCAAAATGAAAAACTCTACTTCAAGAGTTTTAACATAGTTTTGACTAAAGGTCAACTGATTATACTGAATGAATTTTAAAATAAATAGATAAAACTTCCACGTAAGTCTGCAATGCTGATCACTTCACAACACCTTCTGACTCCCTCTCAACCTCCCAGACTAACCTTCTTAGTGTTCCATTGGATGCTCTGCTCTCAGCACGTCAGCTCCTTAAATGTTAGTCTGCAACGTAGAGCTCTCAAGCCTGCCTCTAACTCCCTGGCCTGTCTCTGAGCAATCACATTCCTCTGAAGCCTTGGTCAGTGTAAGTATGAGCCCCAAGGAATTCCTATCTCACTTTTGCTGAGAGCTGGAAAAGGTGGGAAAGGAAGGATGAAATGTGGTATAAAGTTCATCAAAGACTGAAAGGGGCCCTCAGGTCTCTGACAGGTCCAGAGGTGGCTTTCACAGGGTCAAAGACGGGGTGAGAGCAGAAGCCAAATGCAGCCCATCTACCGTGCCCATTTTCTCTCTCTTGTGCCCTCAAACCTGACCCGTAATGGGCCGGAAGCTCGGGGGGGAGCCTCCCCTCCAGCTTAAAAGGACCGTGGAGTTACCTGTTGTCATTTACCCTAGACACTGCTCTGCATTACCAATCTAATCTGACTCTGTTTTGCCATTGCATTTACAATTTCAATACCCTCGTATGGTTCCAGATCTTTATTTCAGAAAGCAGCACTTAGCTACATGCATGTCAAAAAGAACTTTGCTGCTGGTCAGTAATATTTCCCAAAGGTTGCAGGCAAACATTTTATGTTATCCTCTATATTCTGTGCTTAGGACGGACACAACAGATATTTCCCTGATAAAGGCTCCCAAACATGTTCAGTAGTTATCACCTGTACATAGATACCTAAAGGAGCAGACTGATGCTGCAGAGTCAGGTTCTCCTGTTTGTTTCTTTTCTTTTTTTAAATAAAGAACATAGTGGCCCTGGCCAGGTAGAGCATTTTCCTGATACACCAAAGATGTGGGTTTGATCTCCAGTAAGGGTACATACAAGAATCAACAATGAATGCATTAAGTGAGTGGAACAACAAATCAATATTTCTTTCTCTCCCCTTTCCCCTCTTTAAAATCAATCAATCAATCAATCAAATAAATAAATAATGCAGTGGTCCTGGCCAGGTAGCTCAGTTGGTTAGTGTCATCCCAATATGCCAAGGTTGCAGGTTCAATCCCCAGTCAGGGCACATATAAGAATCAACCAATGAATGCGTAAATAAGTGTAACAATAAATCAATGTTTCTCTCTCTAAAATCAATTTTTAAAACCTTAAATAAAAAATACAGTAAATGTGCCACACAATTCTATCCCTGTTTTCTAAGCAGGGCTGGGGGAGGAGGGAGAGGTAAGAGTAGGGGTCCAGGGGAAATCCAGGATATGGGCCAAAGATACTGTTTATGAATGCTTTAGCTGATGTTACCGGCAAGGAGTTCCTGACAACATGGTTAAAAGCGCAAAAGTCCACAGCATTTCATTAGCCATTCTGGAGCAATTTTTTTCCTATCATCTAAGTGCTTCAGAGACAGAGAAATGAAATAGTATAAACATTAAACTGCTGGCTTGGAATGGAGACCACCTTGGTAAGATAAAACTTCTGAATCTGTGTGGCCTCTGAGACACTCATCAGCAGGAGACAGCTGAAGGATTTCAGAAGCTTGTATAAGGCAACTCCAGAAAGCAACTTGGTTTTCAGCACAATTTGGTTATCAGCTCATATTTTAGCAACTCTGTGACTTGCTGTCCCAACCTGTTTCAACTTTATTGTATGTCTTTTCTCCATTAGGTTCATAAGCAGAAAGCACTCTGTTAAGTTTTTCAAATCATAGGCCCCCAAGTCCATCTGAGGTTTGTTAGTCACAAGTTTCTTCTCTGGTTTCCACCAAGCCCTCCCCTGCCACCCCCCTAACAAAAGTCAAGTTTCTATCAGAATTTTATATTAATCATTGAAACAAACATTTCTTGATCCCCTGACCACAAAGAACTTGAAATACCAGAGAAAGATAAATCCTGCTACTGAAGGAAACAGTACACACAACATTCTGTACCCTGTCTCTACATAGCCAACATCCATCTTTGAGGAAAAATGTTTTAAGAATTTCAGGAAATTTAACAGTTGCTACTTGACATCCCAGAGCACTTGGATAGTATATGTTTATTATTCAAAATAATGCACAGAACTGGCTAAATATATATAAGAATCAAGGCACACACTGAATAGCCTCTGCTTCTGATAATAGTTCCCCAAGGAAACCCAGGAGCATGATCAGTTGCTTCTTCCTCTTTTTAGTCTCCTATAGTTGGTTCACTCTGTCCAGCCCTCAGGAACAAGTTAACAACACAGCTTGCAAACAGATTTCTCCCCCAGGAAAAAGAAATCCAGCAGCCCACCAAAACTGTCACCAGCCCTTCCCACACTTACCAGTGCCATAGGGAGGATGCAGCTGATGGCAGTGAGCATCAACGGCCTGAAAAAATACAGGTGGTAGTTTCAATTTTTATTTAGAATTCTTACTTGCCAACTGCCTGAAATCTTTTAAGGCTACACGAATGCGTCTCCATGCCTCAGCCTGTGTTAAGCCACTTTGTGGTCCAATGGCATTTGTTAACACTAGTAGTCATTCACTTCACAGCAGAGATGAAGGAAAGGAGTGAATTACTATGGGCCAGCTTCTGGGCCTGGGGTAGAAAGGAAGGTGATATAGAAAAACTAGCCTATCAAAATCAAGATGGATGGATTCAGGTCTTATGGGATTGAGGGTGAGGCAAGAAGATACTAAAGGGTAAAAGGAAGAAACAAGGTTAAAGTAAAGACAAAGGAGTAAGTGAACACCAGCCTAGAATGGGGCAAAATCAGCAGCAATGGTGTTGGTAAGTGGGCCCCAGAGGGCCCTGACCTTAGGCAAGGTTTATCCCTAAAGTCTAAACTAAGTGGTAGGCCTCCACCTCTCCCACACTTACACACTCAGCCTCTGAAAGGTAAGCTCTCTGGCACCTGATCATAATTTTGCTTCCTTTCACTTTTTATTTAAAGGTCTCCATGGAGGAAGGCCTGACATGTAATCAAGGCACCCACATGTTACACATGCTTTAAAAAAATATGATTAACAAATACAAATTTGAAATTTTCTCTCCATTTTAACCTTAATTCAGTCCTAGTATGATCTCTGATCAGTAAAATCATACCAAAAAAACCCTAGACCTAGTTTTTTATGCAAAACACAACAAAGCAAAAATATAAAAGTCAGCATTTTTTGACCAAGAGGGTACTTTTTAAAAAAAATTCCAAGCATCTACAACAGTGAAGAGTGTAATGAAACCCATGTACCCATTACCCATCTCCAACATCAACTCACGGCCAGGCCCACTGTGTCTGTACCTCCCCTATCCCCTACCCTCTAAATTATTGTGAAGTAAATCCCAGCCAGCGTATCTTTCAGGGTGCATTTCAATGAAAATCCTCTGGGAAGTACTTAGTACAAAATGCTTTTTACAGCCCCTTCTAGGAATGGGGATGCCATATAGGCAAGATGACCATCATTTCTGCAAACCAAGGAGTTACTATCTAATGAACTGCACATAGTAGGACTAAAAGCCAAGTCTCCTACCATGCTCCTGCAGCCACAAGCCCATCTTGTTCAAAAATGATTTCAAAGAGTGCTCTGTCTATTCTAGCTACTGCTACTATGAAGAGAGGTAAAGGAGAGAGAATACCAAATACTATCTAGGCAGTTCCATCCTAGTCCCTCCTCCAGAGACCAGGCCATCTTACTGACAGAGCCACAGACTACAACAGTATGTTTCAAAGACACAGTGACCGACTGCTATCCGTAGCGATGCTCAAAACATGTAACGTTATTTTTATAACCTTTCTGTTCATGTAAAACTCCATCAGAATGGAAGCTCCTTGAGGATGTAGATTTTTAAAAATAATTTCCTCCTGTGCCATACCCAACCACCTGGGACAATGCCCGTGCTGCCGTCTCTTGTAGTCTAGTCTGAAGTCACCACACACCCATCCCCTCCTCCTAGCCTTGGCAGACACCAAGGTCTTCCAAGCTCACAGAGGATGCAGGAAGAAGCCAGATACAGCTGTTACGAAGAAGGTTTAAAAAAAAAAAAAAAAAAAAAAAGGTTGAGGGCCAAGAGGTCTTGTGTGGGTTGCAAGAAGGACAGAGATGCTGACAGGTCTGAGGAGGCAAAAATCAAACTTGAGTTGGGGAGGGGAGCAATAGGAAGGAGTTCAGGCTGGAGAAGCCACTTTAAAGTTTTTCAGCACAGCAAGATAATCAAAATGGTGGTTTTACTCCATACATAAGAAAAATATGAAATAGAAGTTGAAAAAGTTTTACTTATTTATACCTCCTCTTTCACCATTCTAAAAAAATGAGGGGGCAGAAACTAAAGGCAAAGAGATGTTTAAGTTACTTTATGACAGAGATTAAACTATTTCCCCCCATCATTTTTACCATCTATCTAAAAGTTAAAACAACAGAAGACACTCAGAAAACACTTGTTTATTGGGAATCAACAAATTCCAATTATCAATGAACAAAAAAAATCAAATGGCTCACAAAAAGCACTTTGATGAAAAAGAACAACACTGCCACACCAGTCTTTCCCTCAACCCCCATCCTCCCAAGCTTCCTATCCAGAAGAAATCTCTACCACTCATTTTTCTAGGGTCCTCTGGTTGTTACCAACGTCACTGAGCACACCCATAATTCTCTATCAGACATAGTTTACTTGTACCACTCCCTACCTCTCCCTTCCAAGCCTGTTCAATCTTTACATCACTATTTTCAGTTCCTCTATCGATTACCTTTGTAACTTTAAGGCCTCGTTTACAAGACCAGAATTGCAATTTTCTTTCTTAAGCTTCCAGCATTACTACCCTTGGGCCACTCAAAAGAGAATGTCCATAGATTATCTTAGTTGCCGCCAATTATTCATACTTGTGCCATATATGTGTTTGCTTTATATTTGGCTCATGATTTTTTTGTGTAGCTTTTTTGCTTTGTGTAGGAATTCTAATTCCCTTGTCCTTTGTAAAGAGTCCTATGGTTTCTTCAGCGTATCCCAACCATCTTCCACTTCTTCATTCTGCCTGTTGCTTGGAATCTACCCCATTCCTATTCCTGAAAGTTTTTCTTGGATCCCACCAAAATTCTGTTCAAATGCGGGCTGCTTTGCATACCTACTGTACAGGTGACATCATGAGACTTTTCAGTGGACTACCAGATTAGTTAACTGTATCTGGAATTATTTATCTTCCTTTTTTAAAATTTTCATCTGCAAGTAAATATACCAGAAAAGTTACAAGGGAAGTAAATATAGGAAGTCCTTGATGTCTGGAAATGAGTTTATTTTGGAATGATAGAATTCTAGGTTCAAAACCATTTTCCCTCAGGACTTTGAAGGCTGTTGCCAATGAGACATCTGGTTCTCATTTCTTTTAGAAGACTGGCATATCTTTATGGAAACTTTTAGGTTTTCTGTCTATCTTTGTTTTTCTGAAATGCCACAGTGACAATTCTAGCAGTGGGTCTTCCTTTATTCTTCTGGGCAATGAGTCCTCTTTCAATATTAAGACTACTCCTCTCTCTAGCTCTTGGAAACTTTCTTCTTACAGTTTTTAGTATTTTCCTTCTTGCAATATTTTGTTCTCACTTCCCCAAAATTCTAGTAGATGTTGCATCTCTAGATTGATCCTCTATGTTTCTTTTTTTCACTTTTTTTTTTGCCTGTATTGAGAAATTTTCTTGATTTTATCTTATCTACAAAATCTTTTTTAACTTGGCAAATATATAATTAATCTTCACAGGCTCTTTTTGACTGTTTTTTCCTGATGGCCTCTGTTTTATAAATGCCACATCTTCTTGAATATCTTGGAGAACACTAAATAGTGTGCTTTTAAAAGTGAGCAAATTTATCTAATGGTCTGTTTCCCCTAAGATCAATTTTTCTGTTTCTCTTTCATTTGGCATGTTTTCTTCAATATCTGGTGATTCTTGCTTAGCCATTCACATTAGAAAACTAAGGGTTACCAAAAAAAGAATGAAATACTGATACATGCTACAACTTGGATAAACCTCAAAAACATTATGTTAAGTGAAAGCAACCAGATACAAAAGGTCATACGTTGCATGGTTTATATGACATATATAAAATAAGTAAATCCATAGAAACAGAAAGCAGATTTGTGGTTGCCAGTGCCTGGGAAAAGTGGAGAGTAAATGCTTAATGGGCACCAGCTTTCCTTTTTGGGTATTAGAACTAGATGAAGATGACAGGTGTACAACACTATAAATGTACTAAATGTGACTGAATTGTATACTTTAAAATGGTTAATTTTAGGCAAATAATACAGTTTTAAAAGGTGGGGACGGTTATGTGTATGTCAGGAAAACCAACCCTAACTGTGTACATGAACAGAGCCTGTCAACTGACAGGTTTTTCTTTAGGGTGATCCAGCAGACTCAAGGGCCTCCAAAATCACCAATGAGGTCAGCCAATCTTACATGCTCTAAGAACCCTTTTTCTCCCAAGGTTATTCTACTTCGTGAAAATGGGGAGACTATTTTGCCCAGACAAGGTGGGGGCTGGGCTGACTGTTCTACATACACACATTTAATTAATCCCCTCCGTTTGCAGCACCCCTATACCTTTTAGCTTTTGTCAGTCATACCAGAGTCCACAGCCTCTTCAAAGATCTGCTGGACAAACTGGTTTCAATGTACAATGATGTCCCCACAACCTGTTCTCTTTGTTATTATGGGTTTATAACACGTATATGCCTTTACTTTTATTTTCATAATATTTAAAAATGGAGGAGCACCTCGTATTTACCTCACGGTCTTTAATAATTTCTCTCTCCCTGCCTTCCCCAACTCTCCAGGCAAGCATTGCTTTACTTTCCTTTACAACAGATTAGTTGGCATTTTCTAGATGTTTATATAATTGAAATCATAAAGTGTTTACTCTTTGCTCCCCCTGAGTTCCCTCATGCATCATAGTTATTTTGAGATTTACCTATGATGCTTATATGAGCAGTTCATTCTTTTAATACTGCTGAGAAGTATGTTGTTCTACAGGCATGCCACTATTTGTTCATTCATCTGTCTGTGAATATTTGGGTTGTTTCCAGTTTTTGGCTCGTACATTAATAAAACTGCTGCAGACATCTGAATACCAGACAAATAAAAACAAATGGAGGGAGCCCTATGGGTGTAGCTCTGATCGTTGGGCACTGCCCGCAAACCGAGACATCTCAGGTTTGATTCCTGGTCAGCGCATATGCTTGACTTGCAGGTTGGGTTCCCAGTTGGGGTAGGTAAGAGAGGCAATGGATCGATGTTTCTCTCCCTCTTTCTCCCTCCCTTCCCCTCTCTCTAAAAATAAATAAAACCTTAAAACAACAACAAATGAATGGAAGACAAAGGTATATGAGGGTGGTCAACCATTTTGA